GCCTTGATGACTTTTGTGGCAAAAAGGCTACCCAAGTATGTGAAATCAGCTCTCTGGTGAGCAGCGATTGAGACTGGAGAAAGCAGGGCTTTTGGTCTGTAACCTGCAAAAGAAACTGCAGTCACATGGAGGGCTTCAGCAGTACTCATGTCTAAGAAACTGAGCCCATATCAAACACTGGCATGTGTTGAGGGCACCCTGTGAACCACTTTAAAATGAGTGTTACCTGCAGTACATCTCTGTTTATCAAAGTAGGCTCAGGGAAACAAATAAGATGGATAATTTAATTTAGCATCAATAGGGCCTCAAGCTGCTGGGAAAAAATGGGATTAGTACACACTCCCAAAGATGGGCTGTCTTTCTGTCTACAGACACAGGAAGATGTCCTTTGGTTGTCGCATCAATTCCTGACTTCAAGATTTTCTTCACTACAGGCTTTGCATGTGGAACAAAAAAGCATTAAAATGAAATGAAGGTTGCTGAAGGAGTCAGGCACCAAAACACCATGTGGATGTTATAATCATTGCTATATCAAGCAGTGTAGAGCTGGGCAAAGCAAGGTTATAGTTTTGTTTAGGAGGAATGTGGCAATGTGAAGATGGGAAGTGCATAGAGCCACATCAGGGGAGCCGAGCCCTTGATGTATTGCTCCAAGCAGAGCACCCTGAGGTTACAGCACAGAAGCAAACAGAGATGAACTTTTAGATAAACCTCTTCACACTGCTTCCCTACTTCAGGCCTGCCATGACATCATTGTAATGTAGGATTAATCCTGTCACTCAATTGCTGGAGGCATGCTTGACTAGCAGGTACGGGACAGTGGAACCACTGCAAATGAAGTGCACTGCTGTTTTTCTTCCTTCTCTTCTGCTCCTCTCTCACTGCATTTGGAATGAGTAAGGGAACATGACCTCCCAAGAGGTGACTGTGGCATGAGTGAAGCCATCTGGGTTTGTAGCTGCATCAACAGGCCTGTGGCTTGTGATAGGAGTTAGGCTTGGGGTTGTGCAAAGGGAAAGAGCCACTCCTCCATTCTCTGCATGCTGAGACTTCCCTTTGCGTGCCTCTATTTGATGGAATGGAGTCTGGGTAGAAGGTTAATATACAGTCACAGAGTCCTTAAAATGGACAGCCAGAAGGGCCTGCCAGCACTCACTTTTCTCTGTTTCATCCCATCTTTCTCATTGCATGGGGTCATTACATTGAAAAGGTAGTGTTTTTATGTACTGCTGAATTGATGTCCCCACGTGGAGGTTATCTAATAGGGTCTTTCTGTGATCAGTGTGTTCACAGGAATCTGTCACAACACTGCTTTAAATACAAAGCATTTCTTCATGTGTTCCAGTGTAGCACAGGACACTTGCTGAATTTTAACCCCATGGAAAGCCTGGGCAAAATCTGATTCCTCACTGCTAAAATCATCTTTGATAAAGAGTAGTCCAACAGCCAGTAACTGGTTCTTTAAAGACTCAGCTTTTCAGAATTTCTCAGATTTTCAACTGCTTATCTGTCTTGGTTGGAAATCCCTGTAAAATACTGTGTTGTCCTCAAAGGATAAATCCTACAAGTTTGGGGCAAATGTGCTATTCACAGAAAAAGAGGCTGTAGAATTACCCAGGGACTGTTAGGTGTGATTCCTACACCAACCCCAGGGGTGGCCTCCCAGAGAAAGCTGCAGCTCCACAAGATGTGTTTTCCTGAGCTGGCGCAGCCTCAGCTACCAGAAGTGCCCTTGCCTCACCACAGCACACTGTGCATCTCCTCCCAGAGCTGCGCCAAGCCCCTTTTACCAGCCCCTGCGCAACAATGTCAGCTCCCTGACAGAGCAGGAGTCCCATGTGCATGGTCCTAGGCAAAGTTCAGTGATGCTAATAATTGAAGAGTGGAGAGACTGGCTGCTGTTGCAGAGATAAAGAGGGAAACTTACAGATAAAACCAATGCAAGACTGTTTTGATCCTCCTGGGTTTGGAAGGCCACCAGCAGTTTGCCCCAGAGCTTTCTGAAAAAAAAATGTGTGGATCCACAGTCTTCCTTGCTGCTTACGCAGGGGCAAAAGATCCAGGCCCAGCAAGGAGGACCTTTCCCATCACATGTATTGCTTCGTGGGTTGTGTGCAAAGCCAGGTAACGTGAGGTAAGACCAAAAAAAGGCAAAGCAGTTTAGAAGAGCAGAAAAATTTGGAACAGAGGGGAAAGAGAGTGGCTTTGGGGTTTTCAGGAGTTACCTGAAGGTTTCCAGCAGCTCAATGCTGTTTCTCTAGATTATTGTGTGGTCTTTTACTGCCTTTTGCAGTCAATTGTCTCTGCAGGAGTTCTGTGACTTTATGTGTGGTAGGATCACCAAGCTTCTGTGACTGTGGCGTTTCTGAAACATGACTTGGACGAGGAGTGAAGGAAATAGGAACACAGGCTCAAGAGCTCTCCTGCTTGCTGACTCTGAAAGCAAATAAGAAAGGATGGTTTTCCTCTGCACTCATTTCTAAGTAGCTCTGCTATATGGGGCACCTGCAGCACAGGTATAGTTGGAACGGAGCATGTTTTTCTGCCTAGGGCAGAAGTCAGCCCTTTAATCAGGTCAGTGTTGTCACACACTGTGGCCTCCCAGTGATGGAGCTGTGTGTGTGGATGGTTGGGACTGGGTGGGCTTCAGGGGGGTGGGAAAAGGAGGGATTTTTCTTTTCTGGAAGTCATTAAAAATTTTTGCATGGTGAGTACCTCCCCCACAGCCTGGTCACAGAGAGCATTCAGCACAGAAACGGACAGAACTGGATTTTCATTTTTGCTTTGCAGTTCATCTTTAAAGTGAAAGGGGACTTTTGTGGGGCTGAATGACTCTTCAAGGACTTTGGTTCCCTCAGGCTTGCAGCATTCAGGTTGCAGTTTCAAGGGTGCAGAGCCTTTTAAGGGTAGATGTGACATCAGCAGGAGTTTCCAAACCCTGCACATGTACTGCCAAGAAGGTTTTTGTTCTCCTTTTGGTTGCAAAGGAGACTCTTAGGGGCAAGGTGCGGAGAACCTCATGCAACTCATGATGCGATGTCACCCTGACATTTGCTGTGTGCCTACTCTTCCACTGCTGCTGCAAAAGAAAATAGAAAATTGTCTTTATTAGGGTCCACAGTCCCAAAGTTCAAACTGGCTGTTCTTGTGAGCCTCTCCAGCAATAGACCTGAACTGTGAGAGCAAGCACAGATGTAGTTGAGGGGAAAAAAAACACGCACACTTGCAGGTACACAGGAGGAGGAACTTCAAAACTCAGCCTAAACTGGGCTACTGGTGAATGCTTTTTCACACAGCATGTAATCAAACTGTGCAACTCATTGTCACAGGATGTTGTGGAAGCCAAGAAATATACATGCATTCCTGAAGGAGCAAAATCTCTTCTTCAAGGGGTAGGTCTAGCAGTAGTGATGAAACTGCTGATGTCAAGAAACCCTAAAATGCCTGGCTGCCAAAGGTTGCAAGATATGGCAGTTCTTATCCCATATAGAGTGGAAGAGCTAATTTTTCTTGCTACTGGTTGCTGGCTGATAGAGGTCAGAGGGCCAAGTGGGCTCATGGTCTGCCACAGTTTGGTTGTTCAGAGTCTGCAGTGCATTATAAGGGGAAGTACAGGACTGGGGGGTGGGGAATTGAATCTTCTTTCCCTTTGGAAGGCCAGTGAAGTGGCTGAGCAGAGGAAAACCAGTTATATGAGAAGTTTCAGGGAAGGAATTGGGGAATTTGAATCTTCTCTGTCCTGAGGCCAGCTATTTCCTTGTTTTCTGCTCTCAGCCCATGGAGTGCAACAGATTGGTACCCCCCCCTTCCACTACTTGAGATGGGTGCTAATGGTAGTGAGGCTGAGGCAAACAGGGCAAATGTAAAGCAACCCAAATTTTTGGACTAACAAAGCAGGATGCACAGGGATAAGTCTCATCCTGAAGGTTGCACAAACCTGGGTGAAAGCCCAACCACCTGCCCTGACCTTGGTGAAGCACAGGACAGCACATTAATAACAGCTGACTCTTCCAGCAACAGCAGGAGCGACTTGCTAAACTGCTCCCTCGCGTGTTAAGTTCTGGACCCTGAGAGCACCTACCCGCTGGAAAGAGGAATTACAGTGGGAAAACAGGGCTGATCACCGGCATGTAGTGCAGAGAAGTTGCAGTGTGAAGCAGGGGGATTGCTGCTAGTGGTCAAAGTTGTACCCAATTTCTCCTTTCAAGGAGCTCAGCTTATTACAAGAGACACATGCCTGTGTACTAGATATGGCACCAACACGGTCGCTGGGCAGGAGGTGGGGAATGCCTGTGCTGTTTTGCAAGTAATCTCAAGGGAGGCCCATGGGCCTTTACAAATACAAGTTTGTTTTAGCTAGACTAGCCAAAATTCCTCATTTGCTAATACTAGAAGGCTGATGACAGTATGGCTGTAAACTTTGTTTATCATTGTAGGGTTGCTTCTAGCTTCTGGGATATTGAAATATTCGGGTTTTTTCTTTAAGAAAAAAAAAAAAAAAGAACTCTTCCAAAAAAAAAACAAAAACCCAGAAACCCCCAGACTTACAGACCACTTTGGCTCTGTGTGACATACAGGAAACTCACTGGAGGGTGACACAGAATTTCCAAACACTGAGGTCTGAAAAGGAAAAGCAGAGGATATAACAGTTTGGGAACGTATGTTTTTATACCTTGACATGAATAATGACAAATCTTTACTCTGAGGTGTTTAAGGGGCCACCAAAATTTCTGTTCAGGCAGGTAACTCTCCTGCCTTTGCCTTCAGAAATCATTTGTTCAGGATCCTAAGTAGCACTGGAGCATCACGTAAAAGGCAATGCCAAGGGAGGCCTCTCCTCAGTGCAGAGCTGAAGCTATAAACAGCTCTGTAGATGATGAGGTACATTAACAAGTGCAGATAGAGCTGAAAGAATTGAGCTGTATGCAGCAGGACCTGGCACAAGGCTATAGCACTGTCTCACTGACTTTTCTTTGCCCCCCCCCCCCCCCTCCCCCCAGGCTATGCACAGGAGAAGAAAGCAGTCAAAAGCAAAGTGGGAGAAAAAGTTGGCCTGCCTTGTTGTCATGAAATTCCCAGCTCAGAAAGCCTACAGAACTACCGGGTCTACTGGCAGAAGAACATTACAGAGGTAGTGCTTGCCTATGCAGCAGGGGAGAGGATCTCTGAGCACAACTCTGCCCGATATGAAAACCGGACAGAGATAGACCCCAGGAACCTCACCCTGTGGATCTCCCCTGTGGAAATCCTGGACAATGGCCCTTACTGGTGTGTAGTTCAGCACCTCAGATCTTCGCAGAACTCCGTGGTTGTGTGTAATGCGCCTGTCAACCTCTTTGTTACAGGTAGGTGTATTGCGTCCCAACACCTGAGGCTTTCTGGTGCCATCCCCAGGGTAAAGGACACTCCTCCAAGTGTTAGTCATAGTATAGCAGGTAGACTTGCACTAAGCCTCAAAGAGTGCCAGAAGTTGTGTTAACTATTTCCATTTTAGCAGCTTTCCTCCTTACCTTTCCAAAGCTACCCCTGGTACAGAAAATTTGCCTTTCTCACCACCAGCCCAACATCCTCCCCTTGATGCCTCCCTCTTGGAAAAAGACACCCCCCTAGGACACTTTCCGAGGTATCACTGCTGGTGGGTGCCCTAGGCCACCTCTGCCCTCTGCTGTCTTTTGGGCAGAGTAGAGACTAAGCCCTTGGTGCATGGGAAGCATCCAAGCTGAAAGAGGAAGGGGAGTGGCATTGCTTCTCTGTGACCATAGTAGCATCCCAGCCCTGCACCAATGCTCTTGGGAAGCCCAGGCTCTTTGAGGGCTGGCCAGATCACTGGCTGCACTGCAGCTCCACAACCTAAGGCTGAACTCAGCTGGAGATTGGAGGCTTTTCATCTTAAAGAAACAACCCGAGTTCTTTTGCTCAAAACGAATCTGAATCTTTTCTTGGTGGCTACAAAAAGTTCCATTGACATTATTTTCCATTTCTACCACTGTTTTTGTAGCAGTTGGTTTCAACCAAAGGCAGAGATATTGGTAACACATATAATTATATACATACATACATTTGAATTACCTTTAGCAGCAGAGTTCCAGGAATCCTCCAGACAGGTAAATGAGATTTCTCCATCTGGAATGAGATTCGTCAGCAACATAAAAACAAGCTCCCAAGAGCTGGCCATTGCTTGCTTGTGAAGCTAGCCTTAGTGAAGCTAGCTGCGATGTTTGAATGGACTTACTTTCCAGACTGGGCATCAATGCTATACTGCTCAACAGATGGTGGGCCTGGAAGGAAATCCAGGTCTTTCCTTCAGCTGCACAGTGCGAAGCAAGTTACCCTGTCATTAGGTATTAGTTATTTGGTAGCCTGGCCCATGAGTCTGTGGTCAGCAGAAGCCATGGAAGATGCACTACAACCACAAGGCTGTCTGCCTTATGCAGATCCCAGTAGTCATGTGGTCAAATGGTGAGGCAGGCAGGGAGCAGTTGCAGACAAAACATTAGCTGCTCCAAAAAGGGTCATTTTGCAGTGAGTGTGTTGAGCTACCTGCTGCAGTTCTCTGCCTGGTCTTGCTCTGGCTGGGGCTAGAGCCTGAGGGGTGTAGAGGCTACAGACCTACAGCATGCCAGGGAGGGAAGGAGAGTTTGTTCATTTTGACAGCAGTCATGTTGGTGTGACTTAAGCCCAACAGAAAGCCACATGCTGAGTTACTTTTTCTGATTGGTGCCTCTCTTGCTAAAGATGTGGTCCCACTGAGATTTCTCCAGTGGTACAGTTGCCTTATGTAGTTCCTTTGCCACCCCTTCCCTCTTCCTCCTCACCCTGGACTGTTTATGGCAACCTGTGGGCATCCTCAGTCATACCAATGCAACTGTTTACAGTAACCAGGTGAACCAAATTGGCAAAGGGAAGCAGACTAAAATGGATGCCATCTTTTTTCTCCTTCTTCACTCATATTAGTCCTCTCACCCATTTCACCATGCAGTCTTACAAACACATTTGACCAGGCAGGAAGGCATGGGACAAGCTGTGTGGGTGGGAAGCCTCTGAAAACTCTTTGGCAATGAGACAAAAGTCCAGTGAGAACATAGTCTGGGAGGCCCTGTGTACTGCTATGCATTTTTGCAATGACTAATACGACTTGGTCTTGCTCTCAGTGGGGGCTTCTGGAGGGGCTTATTACATATAGAAAATGTAGTGCAGTCTCTTGCTGGCCAGCCCAGCAGAGAGAAACAAGGGAAAGGGCTCACCTCCTTTCCCAGCAGAGACAGATCCTCTGGGAGCTTCTGGCTGGAAAGGGACTAATGATGGAGGGAAAAGAAAATTGTCTGCTTTTGCCTGTAATATGGATTTTTATTGAGTCCCATGTTTCTCATATGATTCCTTCTGTTGTTCCATAAACTGCTGTATGTAGAGAGAAATGGTGACAGTTGAGAGGTGGGGTCATGAAGTGTGTGTACTGCCCAGGGGAGAGAAGAAGCAAAGGCCGAGGTCTTATTCAGGCAAGGCTGTGGGGAGAACACTAAGGCAAAAGAAAGACCAAACAGGTTATGACAGAGGAAGAATACCCTGTGGGGGAGTCTTTGCTTTCACCATGGGTGATAAGAACTGCAGGCCTTGCTGTAATCTGCCAGAACGGTAACTAAATCTTTCTTGCTTCAGCTGACTTCAGTGAGCCGAACCTAACAGCAGAAGTATCCGCTGATTCTTGTGAATCAACTGAGCTGGTGGTAATGTGTTCTTCTTATGGAGGTTTCCCCAAACCCAGACTCTCTGGAGCCCTCAACAACATGTCCGTGGTGTGGAATGCCAGCTGGGTGACCGAGTCCAACCTCAGCCCGTACAACATCACTGGCAAACTGTCACTCAATGTGACCCAAGATTTCAACATCACTTGCTCCGTTGAATACAACAGCTTTACCAAGTCCACCAGTTTGCTTCTGAGTAGGTTTTATTAACAGTTTGTGTTACAAACCCATTTTGTTGAATCTGATGAATTGCCTGCCTGAGAAAGCAGTAAATTTTGTATGTCTGTTCATGCAAGAATGACCAGTGATTCCACCTGTGAGCCATTTGGGAGACACTGAACTGGTATTTGAACGGACGGACTTGAGAAATGCGTGTGCCTTAAAAGCCACAGGTTGCACATAAAAATAATTTCCTCCTTGAACAAACTGTCAGCTGGGGTCTAGGCAAAATTCCGCTTTCATACACATATTTAATATGTGCATGAAAATTCCATCACTGTGCATGGTTTGAAAGTGATAACATAATAGATAAGTCTGTGCTTTGAAAAGCTTGAGGCACAAGTGGAAACAGCATGAGGGAGGCAGCACACTACACTCCAGATATTTTGCAGTAGAAGGGGTTTTGCAAGGAAATTCTTAAAGCCAAAACGATTTTATTTTTTTTAATGTTGTTACCAAAAAGGTATTCTGAAATATCTCTGGGCCTGATGTTTTCAATACGAAGATAAGGGCACCTTCAAGGGAAGCTAGAGAAACACTGTTTTTCCTAGGCAATTGTAGCTTATTCATCAAGGTACCTTATTCATCAATCCTACTAAAATCAAAGGGGCTTATGAGGTGAGGTGCCATTGAGTTTCAGAACGAATGCCAGAAACTAGGGCTTTATGAATATTGGTTATTGCTAGATGTAGTGCATAATGTCCCTAGAGATGGTAATGGAAGAAGGTTATGCATATCATATAACATAAAAAAGGAGAGCAACAAAAAAGTGTAATAATAGTAATACACTGTTGTCAGACAGATTCTCAGAGGAGGGTGCAACCACCAGTGACAACAGCAGTCACAAAACCGCCACTTTCTGATTTTTAAGAATGCAGAACCACTCCCATTTTCCCATTTTCTATGATGGAAATGGTCCTCCAAATAAATCTTTAATAAACGTGGAGACAGAATAGAGCCTCTGGTAAATGCAGGAGGCAAACCATGGAGGGGAATATTGTACAGCAGATCAGGCTATTGTCTAACAAAGTTGAAGGATAATTATGCCAGATGCAGATGATGAAAATCTGAAGACCTATGCACATAGGTCTGCAGACCTGTGAACATGCACCAAGTCTGTCCCTCCTGTCGAATGAGGGTTCTCCTTCACTGTACAAGAACAGCCCATTATCTACCCTAATGCTCAAGTATCAGAATGGTCATCTCCAGTGATGAAAAGTCAAAGGCTCCAGATCCACTGAACTCTGCCACAACACTTTTTCTGGTAAAAAAAAAAGCCCTATTCTGGTCTATTTAATGCACTATTCTCCATCACCTGTGAATTCAGAGGGAAAAAAAATAGGCATAAATCTGGTGAAAACAGTAAGAAAACCTGTAAAGTACTTTTGAGAATGTAGGTTTTCTAGACATGGACTCAGACTTTTCCACCAACCCTAACCATAAGTTTGAAAAACAGCTTAGGTGTTTTAAACTGTTGTCTGCCTCAGTCCTGTTCTGGACAAAGACCCAGCATTTCAGATTCTATGAATGTGTTAAAAATTTCAGCACGTATCAAATACAGGGGAATGAAGGAAATTTAGTTGTCAGCTCTAGCTTTGTCTGTTCGTTTACTGAAAAAGTAAATTTTTCAGGCTAAGTTAGAATTTGTCCAGAACCCCCAATATTCATGTACCTGCTATATGCCAGTATGTTGTTGAGCCCTTTATTTATGTTTTATTTCTTCTGTCTCAGGAAAAACAAATGACTGTGTTCTCCCTACTGTGGCTCCATCTTATAATGTCATTACTGCTTCAAGTATCATCTTTGTCATCTTCCTTTTGGCTATCACCCTAGCAGCAAGGTACCTCCCAAGGCACGGTAAGTGTCAATCCTTTTCCAAGAAACAGCCTCACGCTGCCTGTGGAGCTTCTATGTGAAATACACATTTTTAGAAGCTATGCTGACACACTTGACTGATAGTTCTGTACCACCTTCTCCTTTCCTTTTTTTCTTTTCCTTTTTTTTTTCTTTTCCATCTACTTTGACAAAATCGAAGTCCAGCTCAGGACTTTTCCTACATTTTGAGTGCGGGCAGCACTAGGCTTCAGGTTTGAGAGTGACGGGGTGATGGGGAGTTTTAACAGCAGATCAGAGTATTTCCAAAATCAGGGATATACGGAACTGAAGAGTTTCACAAAGGCACATTTTTATGTATTATGTTTATATATAACATGCTTGAAGATGCCAAGAATCTTGCTGATCATGATAGATAAAGCTGAGCACTGACAGTTTCAGAACTGGATCTCTCCACACACCCTATTTAGACAATCCCTCAGAAAATTCACAGAGCCAAAGCTACAAAAATGCATCGTTCTAGAGCCACAGCAAAAAACCTAAGCACAGCTATGTTCCACTTCTATGAGAATTCCAATCAAGAAACATAGATTTGTCTTCCTTATGTGGCCAAAATCAGCATGGGTGAGGTTCCCTGTCCCACCCTGTGAAGCCTTCAGTAACTCCAGACATGTCTCCAGGAGTTTTTCAATGGCAAAGAAGACCTCCAGCATCTCAGGGTTTGTTGGCAGCTGAGCAGATGTATTTTCTTTTGTTGCTGTTATTTTCATCTATTAGCTGTTGCTTCACATCATGTCTAAGCTGACCTAATCAGAAAGCCCCTTAAGATGTGGGTAGACATCAAATGGGTTTATAAAGGCAGCTAGGCATCCAGTTGGTATTGGAAGTCAAGAGCAGTAGATTTCCTATCCACATCCTGTCCTGGAGAAAGGCAGCAGGCCTTGCAACATGTTATAAATATCACTCAATTGAGTTCTGTCAGGTCACTGGGGAAGTCAGGTCTGGAGATAGTTCAGGGAACTTAAACCAGAAGCCAGCAGTCTGAGCTTCTTAGCATCTCATGGTCACAGCGGCATCCCCTGTTGGAAAGAGGCTATTTGATAGGCAGCAGGAACTCAATTCACCTAGGGACACTTATAAGTTTGTCATGCTTGTGTCTCTGCTACCTCTGTTTCAACTTCAGGCAAGTACACTCCCAAGTCAGAGGTGTGGAGGTAGAATTGCTATTTTTCTCCTCCTCACCAACCACATCCCTTCACAACCCAACGTGACCACTGAGTCAGACTGGGCTAATTTTCTTTCTGGTGTTTTACCACAAAGAAAAGAAGCTTCTGGAAGACAGTGACTCTTGGCTACACCTGTGCACCTCCTCCTTTTCCACTCATGCACCCCTATGACACCAGTGCTGTTTTTCCCCTGCTGTACCCTGGGACTGTGTCAATGGGAAAGCAGCAAGCAGGATGAAACCAAGAAAATCACAATTGCTCACAGCCTTTGCTGTTAGCTGTGTGGATAATAAACTTCTAATTATAGGAGAAAATGAAGTGGAATTGGAGGATTTGGCTCTAAACAAATAACAGGCTGGAAATTGAAAGGTTCCTTACCATTCAATTAGCAAGAATCTGGAGTATTCTGAGGTAGTCTTTTATGTAGAAATTAAATTGCTTTTAAAGTAGATGTAAAAAGCACACCAGTGTGGTGGAATGTGATCACCTGCAACAGCATGGGACATGGCTGCATGAAGTGGAATTTCCCTTTCAGTCCCATTTTCAGAATATGTACAGGGAGTGGATTTACAGAGTCAGGTGGTGCTATTTTGTACAGCCACTTTCCAGACCAAGCATACGGTCCATGAAACTGAAGGTAGAGCTTCAATCCAACTTCCCAGTTTGTGCAATTGTCACATTTCAGTGCTTCTGTGCATTGCCACATGCCTGGGGAGGGAAATACTTGTCCTAAGAGCACTTCCTGCTGCTGTTGCTACAGATCACCCTTAAGAGCTATTGTAGGAGCTCAGAATAGTTCTGAGAGTACCTCTGTTCTGACATATGGAAAGCTGAGTCAGGAGCTGACTTGGTGCTAAGAGTGGTTTCCGAGCTCAAAAAGCCATGCATGGAAGGGAAGAACAGAGAGATAGAGCAAAATGGAAATGAGTTCTCAGATGCAGGTTATAGTGGTAACTAAAATACGAAGATGCTTTGCTGAGGTTCAACCCCCACACTTTGGGTAGCTCACAGCCTATCTTTTCAGTAATGTAAGAATGAAAACTCTAGATTTTTTTTTTTTTTTTTGGCTCTTCAGTTAATTAAACAGAAAGCACCAAGATTATACCAAGATTAAAGGTCACTTAAGGAAAAGCCTAGGATCCATGTTGTAAAATTTATGCAGTTTGCTGTAATAGTATAGAAAGATTCAACTTGATTGTTAAAAGTAATTCATAGATGCTGAGATACCTGTTTAATTTGAACTCCTTTTAAAGCACTGAAAGAGTTGGCTGGCTGGTTCTAATACCGGCATTCTTACACTCACTTGGTAAACTGCATTTAGTGACATGTAACTTTTACCATTATGTCCCTTCCATTCTCATATTAGCAGGTAGCAACCTGTCTTTGTGCCAGGCTGAGGTCCAAGCCCTGGGAATGAAAATTGTTGTATCATATGACACACTAGTATTTATATGTAACAGAACTTTCTGTCAGATCAGCCAATGTCTGTAGGCCAGCCATATTCAGGTGTATTGCATGGATGAGTCCTGCCAAGGAAAAATAAAAGTAACTAGACCTAAAAGATTTGTTTCTTTCATTTCTCCTCTCCTTTCTTCCCACTGCCAGTTATACTTTACTTTGTTGAAGAAGACATTTGTATTCAGCACATTTATGTCTTCTGTAATTTCAAATTCTAATAGGGGATCTTCTTTTTCAGTCTGTTCTCACTGCTCTAAGTGTCAGGATTCAGTGGAACAGGATGTGAAAGAGGGTACAAAGCCACCTGTGTGCTCTAAAGTGACATCTGAAACATCATTTGTATGACCAGATTGCATTGGCAGGTAAGTTTTCTTCACCATTCTTCTCTTGGCAAAATAGCTGCTAAAATACTATTTGATTTTCATACAATGTTAGCTCTCTATGCTGTCCTTTAGGGTAAATGCAGGGTAAAAAGGGGTAGGGCCTGACTGCCAGCTCAGACACATGGCGCTTCCTGGTCAGGTGGCTAGAGGAACGATGTTCATGTTGCTTGTGGGGCACTGCTTTGTTGGGGTTATTTCAGATTTCCTGGAATGAACCTAGTGAAAAATGGTAGAGAGCCAAATTTCCTGAGCTGCTCAGCTGCTTTCTCCACAGCGTGGGCCCTGCACGGATAGTATGCAAGCCTTTTTAGTATTATTTTCCTTAATTAACAAAACAATTTAGGGACTAAATGGGGATGGAGACAGAGAGAGAGGAAAAGAAAGGAACATTGACAACTTTGACTGTCAGTGTCTCCTCTGAACCTGTGTAAGGAAGCTGGTTAATATGAGAGGTGGGGTTTGTAGCATGGTCATCCATCTATCAGGATCTGCAGTGACAGGCCCTTGTTCTCATTTTGTGGGCCTCTCAACTAAGAACTGTCCTGACTCATTTGTGAGTAGTAGCTTATCACTACTATAGGTCCCACATGTGGTGTCATTCCCTAGAGATTGTTTCTGGTGGATGTCCTGTGAGCCATGGATGTCCTGTACTGCTGTTGCATAAACATGGGAACACCACTGATGATAGAAATGAAGGACTGACCAAATGGAAGTGAGGGAGAGATGAACAAGAGAACAACTCCAGCTTTCCCATTAAGATTAGCAATGCCAGTCCATTTCTGAGATATGTCCGTTCCTTTCAGCAGCTGGAGGAATGGAGAAGTTTCCCCTTCGACACTTGCCCAAGAAATGCTCATCTATCTCTTAAAAGGAGCTACTTGTGATACTGAGGTGTTGTGAAGGATGGGCTGAGGAAAAGTCTGACTTAGCCATGTTTTACTAGTACAGAGCATTATATTTGTTTTAGCTCGAAAGCTCAGCTGTGTTCAAAGCTGTGTCCTCCGAAAAGACATTTTTCAAGTTAAGAGACTTAAGTAAAGATTAGCAGCTAACTGCTCTTATTCACATCATTATCCAGGTGACTGCATTTCCTGCTCTCACCTTGGCATACTGAATATATTGCCAGGGCAATGCAGTAGAGCAACAGCTGTAGAATCCTGGAAGTCATGAGTTTGTCATGCCGTGCACTGCAGTAATCTGAAAGTGTAACATTTTTGTGATCGAAAGGAAGGCAAACTATCATTCAGGCCATTTGTCTCCTTTCCAAACCTGACCACGCACTCATGTTTTCCTGTGGGGAAGGCCCTGTCTGGAACAGATACTAGAGCCTTGGTTAGCATGATTTCTGAGGGGGGTTGTGATGGAAGTGGCAGGAGTTCACTTACTGAATAAATCCATTCTGCCACATTCCTCTTTTGTTACAAAAGCTTGCCAGGCTTTTTCTGCAAATGGTTGGTGTTCCTAACTGCAGCTCTTGGAACTGCTGCTTGTCAGCTGACAGGGATGGAAGCTGTGCTTCCCTAGTGGCTGACAAGTCATCTCGTAACTGTGTGATGTGCTGAGCCACGTCCTGTTGCTGCTTAAAGAGGGTAGCACATTCACTAGCCATCCTCACTCCGCAGACAGCACCTCTCCACGATCCAAAGTTTTTCACAGTGAGGCACAGCAGCTCACTGTAGTGCCCCTCTTGAGCTGTCTACCTCTGTTCCGCCCTCAGCTCCGCCTTTACTGTAGTGGGAGCCCTCTTGTGGAGGCCTATCGCACGTCATCCCCTTTTGTCTCGGCCCTGCAACGTTCTTGCCTCGTATTTAGGATTAAGAAGGGGAGGAAAAATAAGTAAAATCTTTTCTCTGTGTCCCTCAGGTTTCTTATCCTGTGTATTCCGCATTGCAGTCCCCACTGCTCATTGTACAGCAATACTTATTGTGTTGACCCTTCGGCTCTCTGAAAGGGGATGACGGCAGTAGAAAGCTCTGCTTATGAAGACTGGCAACATAATCCTGTATGAATGAACACAAACCCCCACCTATGCCACAGAAGCTGTGGTGTGGTCTCCTTACAGCGAGACACTGGTATTCCAGCTGGGAGGACCCTCCATGTTCCTGCAGCAGGGCAGGAGTATCATGAGCATCAACATACCAGTTCAACAGTTTGGGATCCTCTGGCTTTGATGCTGCCTCTGTGAACATCAGGGGCCCTGCACAGCCCTGGCAGGCAGCCCACAGCCACAAGCCCCTTTAGTAACACAGAGCTAGCCTTTGGCAGACCCCAGACCCTGACACACAGTCTCAAGTCAGGCTGTGCCTCCATGTGGTGACTGGGAGCAGCTAAAACTTTTTATATTCAGCCTCACACAGGTTATCTGCCAGTACTGTTCTTTGCGCTGGAGGACTTTGGATTTGGACTTGACCATTACAGATGCATGTCCCTTCTCCCCTAGAGAGGCAATAATGCACACACTTTTCACAGAGAAGCACCTTGAGTGAAACTACGTGCCTCATACTTATTTTCAGGGCTAATAGACTTTTTAGGGAATGATCCATACTGACAGCACACTTAGCAGCTAACTAATATTGCTTATCCACAGCAGTGGCAGAAGTTCTCGTAACCTTTCTCTCCTGAAAGGATGGCCTCACCAACCCAGGTACTAACATACGGCTCCTCCACTGAATTACTGTGGGGGCACATTTGACAAAGCACTGTGCTAGTGGTGGTGCACTGTGCACGCCTCTGTGCATACACTTGTACAAGCTCTTACATGCATTCCTTCCTACCCACACTTGTAACGCCGCATTTCTGTAACAATTTGTGGTTTATCTCACATGTATCTACATGCAATGAAATGTAACTCAGCCTTGCTCCATAAACATAGGTCTGCTTTTGTTTGTATATTTGCATAGGATACTTGTTAGGGAAGGCTCTCCGTATTCTTGGGAGTCTCACACAGTGACATAGGGATTTACTTTGTGTTGAATGCTGCCACTTTCTGCTAGCGTTCTCTCTTCCCAGCCGGGACTTGAAGGAAGTACCCTGCAGGATTCTAACACTGGATAGGACTCATCTAATCTGGGTGACATTCTTGCCTACTGTGTAGGAAAAAGTGGTTTCTCATTTTCAGGGGAGAAAAAGCCCCAAGCCCCACGAAGCTTCCTAAGCAAATCTGCATTCTAACCTAAGTCAACCCTGCCCTGAGTTCGACAGATCTGGTTTTCCCTTTTGCTCTGTCCCACTGCAAACTGTACCTGTTCCCTTGCTGCTCTATCCATGTGTGTAGTTAGCAGAGCAGAGCAAACACCATGCCACTCTCTCTGTGGGACGTGTTGTTGCTTAAGCTAGGACACAGCCAAGAAATATTCTACCCACTTCACTTTTTTCTAGCAGGTACATATTGAAAGAGAAATTGCTGGAGGAAATAAGAGGACTAAAAGTGGTTTATAGAGGACTGAGCTACAAGAGGCTAAGGGATAAGAGTTGCTAGTAAAAAATAAGGCACTGCTCCTTTTCTACTCCTGCAGCATCATGCCGCCCCATCAGCTTTTTTACTGTTTTCTCACTGTATGAAGTGAAATGGGAGCTTCAAAACATTCTTATTGAAGGTTTTTTGACAGAGAAAAAGAGACAAGGTGGGTGATAAGGAAACCATAAGCTTTGCACTCGTGAATTCTGGTTGAAAGCAGAAAACAGGTGACACGGAAAACAGTGTTTCCAAAAGGCAACCTTATTGCAGGACTTGGGTCTACAGGCAACAGTGTCTCATACTTTCCATTTCTTCCCATACTTCCTCTTTCCAGCATAAACTACTAGCTTCCTGGAGGCTGAACACCCTCCTTTTGTTATTTTGTTTGCTCATTTTTAACACTGTGCTTCCTTCCCTGCTATAACAATGCATTTCCACCTTACCAACCACACCACAGCCCTGACAGTTGGACCAACACAACCTTTTCCCTCTGCCTGTCCTATGCTTTACTTCTGCTCCTGACTGATGATTGCACAGCCTCCTGGAGAAGGGTTTGTTCTCTGTACTGTGCCAAACCTTTCTGTCACCAGACTCCTCTGACCTTTGAAGTTAACTCCTTCTAAAGGAAACAAAATGTTTCACTGACAAATACGTCTAGCATCAGTTCAATTTTGTATTCTTGTTGGGCAGGTTATTTGGTTTATTTTTTCCTTAAGCACGTATACTATGAATCATGTTTTCTATTGCCTTGTGCTGTATTCAGTGAATTGAACACAAATGGTTTCTATGAGACCTTTTTGGCTTAATATCTGGGTCTTTCTACCAGGTGAGCTGCTCTGTTTATCACAGGTATTTTGTATATAACATTTTTTTCCTAGAGTTCCTAGAGTTTAATTGTATTAAAAAATAAACAGTAAACTCAAGTTTCCTTTCCTCAGTAATAAAAGATGTCTGTTCTATGTGCAGGGAAGTGGTAGAGCCTTTCAAGTAACAGCATAAGCCTCAGTCACCATTTCGCAGCTGCTAAAAACAGACTGTGTAGCATCTAGGTAGCTGGTTGACAAAGCTGTTACAGGTACAGCTGGCATCAAGACACAACTCTCTCTGGTGTGCTCAGCAGCAATGACAAGTGTCACTCAGGTACCCATCTTGTAACTGTCACACACCTCCTGTCTGTTAGTGCATCAGGGGTTAACAGAGCAGCGTAGCTGTGGTGTTCAACATGCAGTTTGCAACTTCTCCCTGCCAAAAAGGGAGGTTCCCTGCAAAAGCAAAACCTGGTGTAAGATTAGTGTATCCCCACTATTCCTGTTACCTACTCAGAAAGTGGAGGACCAATAACGTCAGTGATATGCTTTTGCTGGGGTGGAGGGAAGACAGTGGGGAGGGACCGTTTAAATACATTTGTATTTAAAATACAAGCTCTGAACCAACTCTTCACTCCCCATTTGGACAGTGACTTTGAATACATGAAACAAGGAAGTGCAAGGAATTAAATCCAGCAGGAAAAGGAGCAAACAAACAATGGCTGCTAATCTTGAGTGTGCAGATGGAAGTCTCTGCTTCCCCTTGCTAATGTGCAGCATAAGGACATCTAGCAGCCCTTCCTTCCTCACATGGAGAGAAAAGCCACCAACTGCTACACCTTGGCCCTCCCTAACCTCCCATGCACCAATGGCCAGACACAAGAAAATTAGTATTCTTTAGCCATCACATCACATACCACTAAATAGTACTACAGAAAGACTGAGCAATGACACAGCCAAATGTCATCTCCTGTACAGGTAAGAAAAAGAAGAGAAAAAGAGAAGACCAAATATCATTGTATAACCACAGTGGCAAAAACGTGACTCAGAAAGGTCTGCTGTTTTGTTTTTTGAGAGGCAGAGGAAAATAACACTACTGTCACCAGTACATGCAAAGCTTAAAACAGGAAGGGGGAATGACATATCTGTACCTCTGTTTATTCAGATCCTTCACTCAGGTGCAGAAAAAGGAAACTGAGAGCTGGTTGATAACAACCCCCAAACACGTGTTTCTTCAATGAAAATGAATGAAAGATGCACTACACAAAAAAATACAATAAAATGCTTATTTCAGAAGTCAGAAAACATAACACCTTCCTGGAAGCAAGCTGTGCCAAAAATCTGCTTCGGGTGGGTGGAATATGCTCTGTGGAATTGACTGTTCATCCTTCAATCAACAGTAATCAGCAGTAACAGAGAAAAGCATTCAGCCAGAACATACTGGTAGTATACTCTTTTCCTGGGGGAAGGAGACCCAAACCCCTTGCCTGAATCCAATTCCCTTTAACAGGAAAAAAGCTCTGACAAAAGAAGAGGATGAAAATTATGACTTCTGCTTTGATGGAAATGGCAATGGGCACCCTGGCCCTTCTGGGTACATACCATTAGTCCATTGACTTCAACCCTATCCATAGGTAACAGCTATGACTTAACAGTTCATCTCTGGTACAAAACAATAAACAGAGCTAGTGGTATCCTGGCTCTTGTCTTTGCTACTGCCTGGATAGAGGAATGCCTGACACCACCACCAGACTTCATTGCTGTTCATGGGTGGGATCTCAGCTAGAGCTCTTCTTAAGGGATATTACTCATATGTTTCTCAAGTGCAAATGCTGTACTAACATAAAGAGCTCACGGACACAACCACCACTGCTAGATGGCTTTATTAAGTGTCTTGAACCACACTTTCCCCAAAGGTAATCCCCTAATTCCCAACCTTCAAATGAAATCAGAGGCCTTTTTCTTGTTGGTTAAATTTTCCACCACCATCACCACCAGAAACAAATCATCCTTCTTGTGGCCCTCTCAGTCACACTTCTACTGAGGAACCCAAAACATGCCTTTTTCAAGGTATTTCTCTATCATTCCCAGCTCCTCCACCCTCCATACACTGACTGCAAAATACCCCAGATACTGGAGGAACCACATGTGTTTTTCTGCAAAAAGCCTGAAGAAACCACCATCAGCGGGACAGCATTTGCTGATGCTGAAACCAGGCTCAGTCAAGCTGTGGGACAGGGATGACAAGAGGATGAGGACCACTCACTCCAGTGCTGCCTGTGCTGTGCTCTGACACCAAGGTCCTCAGGTGCTGTCTGAAGAGCAGCTTACACCAGAGCCTAATTACCTTTTGGAATCGGGGTACCTTTAGCAATCAAACTATTCACAGCTTCTTTAGCTTGAGTATTTCTACCTCACTGGTGGTCTGGACATTTTCAGCAAGGAAATGGGTTCTAAATGAGGTTCCGGGGCTGCCCTCACCCCGTGCCAAAGCTGCATTATGCAGAGTCTACATTTCCACCTTCTTGGCCATTCCATGCTGTTGTGCAGTGATATGAGTCCATAAACTGTGTTTTCAGCAAAATGCTTTTTCACAAGCACAGCAGGTGTAACTGCATTCACAAAAGACCTTCAAGACTTCTATTTGCAGAATCAAAATACTTTGTAGCTGCTTACAACAGAGATCTGGAGAAGACTCAACAGTTCCTAGACAGCTCTTGCTCTCTTTGTCTCTGGTCCTTCCACGTTACTTTCTGTTTGGCCTAAGACTTCAGTCACACTGAGCCTGGATTGCCTAAAGAGAGAAGAGAGAGTACAAAGTAATTTTATGCCTGTATCTTCCCGACAAAGGCATTACTGAAAAATCCCAACTCTTGAACTTCTAGAACTGGCACTATTCCTGGGTGTTAGTAAGTCACACAACCAGTGTCATAGCCTTTTCTCCCCAAAGTGTACAGCGATCCTTCTTTTCTCTCCTTAACAGGGATGGAAAGAAGGCAGCAATGAAGTTAAAAACAGAGTTCTGGCCTCTTTCAATTTTGGTAAAGAAATACCAAGGTCCTTGTCCTGCTTGTCTTCACAGCCCCTGCAAAAGAGAAGAACTGATACAGAGTCACTGGGTAGTGGCAGGGCATGAATTCTGTACAAAATACCTTGTTAAGAAAAAAGCAGCAACACCAGATGCTGGGAACACCAAACCAGCAGTTCTCAGACAGGTATGTGACACACATCAAAAACTAAGAGCAGAAGAACTGAGGTCTAGAATAGCTGTTTATCATGGTTTCCTTAAGTGTTTGAACCACACAGACCTTGACACTCTTCTAGTCAAAGACTCGGACAGGCAGAACTGTTCCTTACCACTCTGCTAACTTCTGTTCATACAGCTCCCTGCGCTCACGGTTTCTCTTCTCGTCCAAGGTCTCACCAGCAAACTTCTGCATTACCATTAAGAGGCCCCCTGCAGGGATCCTAGAAAACAGGAAAGTCACAAGTCACCCAGCAGAGACACAACAGTAATAACTTAGTGGCATGGGCAAAAGGAGCATACAGGGCAGCCACCAGACCAGTGGTGTGTAATATTCCCCAGTACTGACACCACACAACAGACTAAGGAACTCATCCTGTCAGTCACCAAACACAGCCTGCCTTCAGCTGTGACTGCTTTTGATTCTGAATTTACCCATTGACAGGCACTCACAGGCCAAAGGGATGGAAGGATTCAAGGTACCCAAACAACCTCTGTAGATCGCCCACCCCATAATTTGGACAGTCAAAACTCTGATCACCTTTTGCCCAGGTCTGGAGGTATGTGTGCTTTCATTGGTAAAGCTCCCTAGGCTGCTTCCAGGCATGGCCACAGCTGACACCATGCTGACGGTGCTGAACAGCCTATATAAAGCTCATTCTCTTGTCCAGTCAGGATCTTCAAATTCACTTGTGAGAATATTCACAAGTTCTGCTTGACAAGTCAGACTTCTCCTGAATTAAGAGGTCATTGTCATGATGGACAGAGCCCCTGTGACAGAACTCAAAGCTCCATGCCCCAGGGAGATTTAGGAGATATGCAACTGCAATATATGCACAAAGAAAGAGATGTGCCACCTTACAGCCTTGGGCTGTGCAGCCCAACCATGCTGCTTCTTCCTCAGCACTGCCTAATGGCTGGTGCTCCACATTTTGGCTTTGATGGAGCTTGGTTTGTAAATAACCATTTTTATATGGACTCCTAACCTAGGGGCTAGCAATTCTCAGGGTGCCCCCTTCAAAATGCGTCACCATGACACCCAACACCCCTTGTGTGCCATCTGGATTCTGGGCTGCTACAGGAGCAGCTGCTGATGAAGGTGAGGAGGGAGCCCAGAAGCTGTGTTTTACACTCCTGCTTTTACCCACAGACAACAGAATTTCTTAAAAGCAGATATCCAGCGGTTCTGCACACAATCACCAGGTTCATCAGCAACCACGCCAAGGAAGGAGACATGTCTGTAACCCATTTGCACAGTTTCCTATTTAACAGTAGTTAGTGCCTCCTCTAATAAGCAAACAGGAGCAAGTAAGATGCTCTGTTGAGAGTATGGAGTCCTTATCACCAAGGAAGCAGCAAAACACAAATCAAGAAAAGAAACCCCAAACAGTGTAAATGTTGGGAGAAAAGTCATCAAAATTATCCCAAGAGATACGGGAAATCCCTCAAGGCCAGGGACGCAGGGAAGCTTCTGTAGCTTCATCTATGATTTGACACTTGGTGCGTGCAGCCACTGTGCAACAAACACCCTTAAGGAGTAACTGTGTATCAGCAGCTGCCACAACTCACCCAAATGCCGCTCCAAACACAAAGCCTCCTGCCAGTCCCTGCAGGCCCAAGTGGATTCTGAAAAGGGCTCCTGTGAAGGCTAAAGAAAACACAAACCCACTGAAACCACGAGCAGCCCCCCACCAGCCATCACACACAGACAGAGGGAGCTGCTTGCTGCATTTCTCCTTCATGTGAGCTGACATCTACTTTTAACAGAGCAGAAACCAAGGGCAGTGGCAAGCAGGGGGTACCCTTGCCACAGAGTCACCATGGTCTCTACACTAAAGCACTGCACAAAGCTCCTGCTTCAGAAAACTCCCCAAGAAATGTTAAGAGGTATCTATGAAAGTAAAACCAAGCTCTCTCCAGACTGGAGCATGAGCCTTACCCCTGCTGGTTTTTCTGTTCAACAACAGCTAATAATAGTAGCTTCCATGTAAGGCAGAAAAGATCAGTAAAAGATGTATACAACAGTAAGGGCAATCCAGCCCATAACACTGAACAAGCAGATCACTTACCCAGAGCCCTGCTGACAAAAGTGGACATGCAAAACTTAGCACAAAAAGGATGCTTTTATAAACAGTGAACTGAACTGTTACAGCATAGAACTAAGAAATTCTTTCCCTGCTAAATAGGTGCAGGTTATGCACAAGCGCTTCCTTTACCAGACACAAGCACTTTTCACCCAAAAAACTCCAGCAAGTATTTTGAAGATGAACTCCTAACCACAAAACTCCCTCATGGTTGCAGAAGCGCACTGGTATCTCTGTTACACATAAAGGCATGCAACAGCTAAACTACAGAGCCAAGGCACAATGGCAGTCAGTAGATTAAGAAACAAAGCCCAGGAGATCCTCTCAAAACCAGAGGATTTCTCTCTCTGTTTTACCACTTATGACCCTCGCTCATACAGAGAATACTTCTAAGCAAGGTTATAGCACTCTTACCTCCTGCTGAAGCAAAATTACTGATGGTGGTTTTATTGCGGTACACAGACAGACTGGTGCTCACCAAGCTGCAAAGTTAAGGCACAGAATAAGTCAGAAGTTGCACATGGAAAAAGGCAGGTAGCAAAACACAGCCTGAAATAAAGCTGGATTTCATTAAGCCAACCCTTAGGTTGCCTCTAACTGCCTAGTTGCTCGTCTGCCCAGAGCACACAGGCACCAGCCACAGCTGCCTTAATTTCTGTGACTTTAGAGAGGCCAGGGAAAACTGGGATTCCCAGGCTGGAGCAGGGATACTCTTTCTGTTTCTTTTCATAAATGGAAGATTTATTTTCCAGCATATATTCAAGGATAAAATGGAACTGAGCATGAAAAGGTCCCATCAGTCAGTCCTGATGCAGGACCTTCCGCCCAGAAGCTGAAACTGCGTATCGGTCAGATCCTGCTTGACAGACAGTGCTGACCACCAGAGCTAAGTCAGACACATGACATCAGCAGTGCCACTTACTCCTGTGGCATGAGATTTCCCACCAGGGCAGGTCCACAATCTCCTCCAAAACCAGCCCCAAAACAGCTCTGAGTTCAGCAGCCACATCCTCCCCAGCACTTCAGCCAGCCTTTGCATGACATCTACCAGTCAACAGCAATCTTCCTCCCCAGTGCTGGAGCATCACCTTTGTACAAGGCAAAACTAAACATCCGGTTTATGAAACTCAAAGTTTACAGGATGAAACCTTCCACCTGGACTTTACAGAAACAGTTGATGCAAATCTCTTTTCAAAGCCTTCTACAAAGGGGTGGTGAGCAAGGGCGAGGAGCCGACTGTAGGGGAGACATCTGCTGGAAGACGAGGAGGTTACATGCCAAGGCCAGGAAAATCTAAAGAAACCAGAAGCTCCAGGAGAGAAAGAACGGATACCAACCAAAAGGAGTCAAAGAAACCAAGAGGGATAGAGTGATAAATTCAGAAAGGAACAAGAAAACTGGGGAGATGGAAATATAACCCAATGCTAGTCAATACTGCTGGTATCTTAAAAGCAGAAGGGGAATTTAAACAATGCAGATATAGGCAATGCAGGTTTAGGACTACACATAAATTTACTATTTTGGTCAGGGAAGGAGATATTCCTAGTTTAAAAGGGCTTTACTCTGAAAAGCATGCTTATTTTGATGTTATATTGTCAGAAATGCACTAAAACATCTGAGGGGGAAAATCAGGGAAGAACACAAGCTCTGTGTTGGTTGTGTGAGTAGGGAAAATCTGAAGGCCTAAAGCAGTACAGACAACTGGTAGGTCTGATGTTCAGTGACTGCTTAATAACAAGATGATAACAGGCATTTGAGGACAAGAACAGAGAATTGTGAGTAATGCTAGTGTGTAAAGATTTGGAGTAATAAGACATCACAAAAAGGAGAAAAATTAGAGTGGGATAGAAAGCTTTTCCAGCAACAGTCAAAGTACTGTGAAAAGAGATGAAGCAAAAGCAGAAAGAAGCCATCAAGCACAGGGAAGGATCACAGTGATTCGGGTTGAAGTGACCTTAAAGCTCAACCAGTTCCAACTCCCCTGCCATGGACCGGGACACCTTCCGCTAGCGCAGGTTGCTCCAAGCCCCATCCAACCTGGGCTTGAACACTGCCAGGGATGGGGCAGCCACAGCTTCTCTCGGCAACCGGTGCCAGCGCCTCACTGCCCTCATAGGGAAGAGCTTCTCTCTTATATTTAATCTAAATCTCCCCTCTTTCAGTTTAAAGCCGTTCCCCCTTGTCCTGTCACTACCTGCCCTTGTAAAAAGCCCCTCTCCAGATTTCTTGTAGGCCCCCTTTAGGTACTGGAAGGCTGCTATAAAAGAACAGTATTCAAGTCAATAACAGCATGGGTCGTACATAAGGAACAGTGCTTCTCCAGTTTCGGGTTTTGTGTTGGCTCACTAGAAGATCTAAATTCTGGGGTAATTATAAAAGGTTAAAGTCTCTTCATATTCACACCTTATCACTCAGATTCACTGCTAGCACAATGCTTTGTGCCTCCATCAACCACAGGTCTCTCAAGTAGCCGCAAGCACTTGCTGGCACGAAGGGCTCCTTGCCACTGGCGCTCAAGCATAAGGCAGCTCTTCTCCCACCATCACTGCTGGGAAACACTTACTTGAATAGTGTCACAAAAGTGGCCACTCGCCAGCTCCAGCGCCAGCCATAGCGAATGAAGCTCCTAAGGCCAGCACGATGCGCAGCTTGCTGCAGGGAGAGAAGACAGGTTACAGATCACAGCCCTCCTCCTCCCTGCCTGCACCACCAGCCTGCTGCGACCTGGGGTATATGCTACGGGCTGTGGGAATGACATCACTTGGGAGTGATACCCCGATCCATAGTGCTCAGGTCAGTCACCTTCAGAGGAAGAGGCCCAGCCACCAACAGGAAAATCATGAATTAAATCCAGTTTGTAACATCAACTGGTCTTTCTAATGCTGGTGTTGAAACACACCTGTGGGGACAGGGAGAGCTTTATGAGGGCAGTACAAGAGAGTAGCAGAGAAGGAGGAAGCAGGGACAAACTAGAAACTGGTTCTTCATTATTACTGGTTCACAGGTATTCATAAATAATAACCATTAATAAAAAATAACCACAATAAGTAAGTGATAGCCACCTAATTTAAATGTTAAGAGACCATTAAGCTCTGCAGTTCAGCACTGGCACTCAAAAGTTTGGCTTTTTTAAAGGATAAACAGCAGCTTCATAAAAATTGAAAATATTTCACTTAATAGCACGAAAGAAAATAAAATCTCTCTTCTGGTGTATGCAGTGCAAGTACTCAGCCTCAGTGCACATACATGAGCGCCAGTGCAAGCACAGAGTGAAGCTGGGCACCGGTACTTTGCAGCCACTACATCAGGGGCTGAATCTAAATCAGTGAATGATGGACAGTGAATCAGTGAATGATAGCAGATTTTAAGGGGTTTTCTCCAGGCAGACAGCCCCTGAACTGAATGACAAACCCTTAAACATTCAAATTCACCTGTAAAATGTCACAAGTTGTGACCTCTGTTGTGGGGTACAGCTGTAAGCTAAGAGTACTCTAAACGGTCTTAAAATAACTCACGTTACTAAGGGGACACCACCAGCCTGACACTGTGAAGTCTTTTGCCAATGTGTAATATAATCTAAAAGCCTTCTCAGGACATGTCACTGGCCACTGAACAGACCGGTACGCATTGCTAACAACGCTTGCTGTACCCAAGGACAGTTTCTGCGGCGGTAACCGCGCAGGACGTGAGTGACACACGAGCCGGCCCGGGCACACTCGCACATACCGAACCATGCGATATGTGTGGCCTCTGCCCCGCGGCTCCCGTCCCACCGCAGCCGCAGCCCCGGCCCCCGCCGCCCGGCCCCCCGTGTTATCTCCCAACTCAGAGCGGGGCTCCCGCTGTCGCGAATGGGCTCGTACCACCGCATCGGCGCGGTTCTGGAAGAGCTCGCCGTGGCTCCTGTCGATGAAGGCCTTGCGGCCCTGGTAAAAGGCGGGCAGCCCCCCGTACACCCAGCCTGCGAGCCCTGCGACGAAGGCCGACTTGATGATGTTGATGGTTTCCTCCGGATACTCCTGCCGCTCGCTGCAAGGGAACGGAAGGGCACGGCTGAGGGGGGACAACGCCCGCCCCAGGGCCGCGGGCACCCTCCACCCGCCCTCCCTTCCCTTCCCTTCCCCTCCCCTCCCCCGGCCGGGCGCAGGCCTCACTCTCGCCGCCAGAGCTCGCGGAGCCGCTCCCAGCCCGTCTCCGGCGGCGGCGCGGGGCTGCTGAAAAGCGGCGGATCGCCAGGCCCGTCCGCCATCGCCCTCTCGGCGGCGGCGGCGGCAGCAGCAGCAGCGCCCCCTGCCCCCCGGCGGCGCGCAGCGCGGAGCGGCACGGACGAGCCCTCCTGGCTTCCCCCCAGGTAGAAACGAGGGTCTTCGTGCTCAAAGTGGCGGGGCAGGGCGGGTTGGGCAACGCAAAATAAAGGAAGCTGGCTGGAAATTCCTCGGTGCAGAGGAGATCGACCAGGTGAAGCTTTCAACCACCGCGACCCGATACTGGAAGCAGAGACACCCCCAAACATTACTGTGACAGGCAAAACCAGACACATTGCACCCTTGCTGATGAAACAGACAGGGCTTACCCAGACACTTAATTGGAATTGCGATAAAGTAATGATGTATCCAACAAAACTTTTATTCCAAAAGCATTTCATTAAAAAAGGACTAAAAATATCACACATAACCATTTCAGAATGCTGTCTGGAAAAATCTCCCCAGGGAAGTGATTCTTTGCCTAGAAAGGTTGGACCAGATGATCTTCGATGTCCCTTCCAACCTGGTATTCTGTGATTCTGTCTCTCCAGTGACTAAAAATACAAACCCAGAAAGCCCTTTCCACTCTTGCACAGTTCTCTCCCCCAGAAACCAGGCCATCCTAGTATCCTGACCCCTGACGAACCAGCACTGGAGCAGTTAAATCCCTGCACTGGGGCCCGGCAGTGCTGCGAGGCTTCTCGCTGTGTGAGCACATACCTGTGCAGGTGTGCTTGGCATTACTGTTTCTTGTAGTGTTTTCTTCTCCCCTGATCCAAACTGACAGCAGAGGAAGCTGTGAGCTGTGGCAGTCCCTCTCTTTTATTAGCATGCTGCTTCCTGAGCCTTGAGGCCACTTTATCAAGGGTGCTCACCTGGGAGGCAGCGGCCCTCCTGCAATCCCATGCTCTTCCAAGCACCTGCCTGGATGCCAGAGAAGATGCTGCTTCCTCCCAGGCCCTTCAACTCAGGGGCTGCAGAGAATCTCAGAGACTACACTCCCTCTGGCTGAGCAGCCTGCAGTGGGCATAAATACAGTACATGCAAGCAATATATGACTGAACTCAAAATGAGTTGTGAGGAGTAGCTGCCACTGTGTGACTGGAGACATTGCTTCAACCAGACTGAAGGAGAGGAGAAAAGGAGGGAAACAGCTGTGGGGAAGAAAAACAGATACTGAAGTGAGCAGGTTTGCTACCAGCCTCCAAAAAACCCAACCAAAAGCAACCCTAGAAAGATTGCAGAAGGGATCAGAGGAGAGAATCTGTGAACACCTGGAAAAAAAGAAGAGCTGAATTCACCTCTGCATATCCTTTCTCTGGGTTCTTCAGGGTCCTTGGATGCTGACCTTAAGGCCAGCCAACCAGTGGGAGCTTGTTCAAGGGGCTCAGTTCTGCATGGCTGTTTGGGCACCCAGCTCATCTGTTGGGAGGATAAACCATCTTTATCTCAGTTGCCAGACACCTGACAGTGCTACTCAGGCTCAGCACTGTGTAACATCAACATCACTGTCTGCTCCCCTGTGAGGTAGGTAGTTTAACTGTCCAAGGACCACTCATCCCTTCAATGGCATGTCAAAGCCTTGCCATCTGTCCTGGGCTCAGCTGCAAGTTATCTTTCTCTTTCCTAGTAGCTGGTGCAGTGCTGTTGTTTTGGCTTTAGTCCAAGAGCAATACTGGTAACACACCGATGGTTTAGTTGCTGCTAAATAGCGCTTACCCTGACCAAGGACTTTTCAGTCTCATGCTCTGCCAGTGACAAGGAGCACAGGAAGTGGAGAGGAAGCAGAGCCAGGATACCTGACCCAAACTAGCCAAAGGGGTATTCCATACCATCATGCCCAGGATAGAAACTGGAGGGAGTCACCCAGAACAGACCAATTGCTGCTTGGGATGGGCTGGGTATTGGTCAGCAGCTGGTGACTGATTGTATTGTGCATCACTTGCGTTCATTGTTTTTTCTATCTCTTTTTAGTTTTATATTCTCTCCCCTTATTTCCCTTTTATGTTATACTTCAGTTATTGGACTGTTTTTATCCCAACCCGTGGGGTTTACATTATTTCAATTCTCCTCCCCATTGTGCCCAGAGAGGGGCGGGAAGAACGGGGAGAGTGAGCAAACAGCTGCGTGCTGCTGAGTTATCAGCTAGGTTTAAATCACGACACCATCAACCTCTAAACCACCTCTAAAACCTGATATAAACATTAAGCTCTAAGCTACATAAAAAGGTGAATCCAAATCCCAGTACCTGCTTTTGTCAGAGAACACCTAATAGCCTGAGTATTAATACCCTCACGGGTGAGAAAACATTGACTGCTTGCCAAACACAGGGGCAGGTATCTCCTGATTGAATGTCACTGACAGTTGTTGCCTTGCCCACAAGTACAGAGGACTTGGTAAAAAGTCCAGTAAAATTCACAGAAAGATTTCTCATGACTGCATGGGCTTTAGGATCATTCTGAGGCAGGTAAGTAACTAAGTCCCAAATGCTAAGAATCGTCTTCCAGGCCTGACCATAACCACCCCATTCAATAGCTATCATCATCCAACATTGTACTAAACAATCTTACAGCAACAGTACAACTGGGTCCCACCATATAGGAGTGATTTCAGCAGCCTACTGCTGCTCTCTGCAGTTCTAGGGTAAAGAAGTCTGAGAGAACAAGAAAGAAGATACACTGATCTTCAGATTTCCAGAGAGATCAGTCTGAGTTGAAGAAGCCTGGAAAAAAAGAAGAAACAGAGAAGTCTCTACAGTTCTGTTTTCCACCGTTCAGGAGCAATCTCACTGTAGCTCTTCTTCCTTTTCACTTCATAAGTCAAGGCTTGGGAATATTCAGAAAGCAGACGCTCCCAGTAGCAGGAGACATCCTCCATCTGCAAGTGCTCTGTGATGAACTGGCGTCCCCTAGAGATACACAAGGCACAGTCAGAACCAATTCCCAGCTCCTACAAGTCTTTGGTTTTGTTTTATATGTATATCAGCTTTCACTCCTCTGTATTTTAAATGAGAAACAACATACACTGCTCTGTCCCGTCTATTTTAATTTCACAATCTTCACTTGCACTTGCAGCTCTAACAGTTGCAGTGCTTTTGTCACCCTGAAGATGGTATTTGTTATCTGGGATAATAACTGTCAGATTTCACGTATCAGATACAGCCTGAGCAGCACCAAAGCATGCTGCTTCAGAAGCCAGTTACTGCCAGCCTACACACACAATGATACAATGCGGCCACGGTTCCCAGGGGTCAGCTCACCTCCTTCCTGAATGAAAGCTCCCAACCTCTGAGAGCTTTCAGTGGGGTTTCTGACATGGGTCACATCTGAAACAAGGACTAAAGCAGATAATCTTGTTCCCTGGTTCCCCCTGCTTGTTACACCTTCTCCAACCCTTCTGCTGTTACTGCAGATCAATTATGCTCAGTCTTTTAATATCAGGTTGTCTTTGATAGGTGCTTTGATAGGCGCTTCAAATGCTGCATAAGCAAATGGTTTGGAAGAAGACTGCCTGAGAGGCAGGACACACAGCTTACCTGTCTGAAATTTCTTGTGCTATGGCATCATTCTCCTTTACAAACTGCAACAGCTCCCTAAATGAAGACCAACAAAACAGCTATGAAACAACTTGCTCAGGGGAGAACACTGTCCCTTAGCTAAACTACTGTGGAGGATGACAGCGAGTCCATAGAAGAGCACCGGAGCTTGTGAAGGGACTGGAGCACAAGTCTTATGAGGAATGACTTGAAGGAAATGGGGGGGTTTAGTCTGCAGAAGAGAAGGCTCAGTGGGGATCTTATCGCTCTCTACAACTGCCTGACAGGAGGATGGAGACAGGACGGGGCTGGTCTCTGCTCCCAAGGAACAAGGGATGGGACAAGAGGAAACAGCCTCAAGCTGCACCAGAGGACAGAGTTCAGGTGGAGATGAGGAACAATTCCTTCCCCAAAGGGTGCTCAGCCATTGGAACAGGCTGCCCAGGGCAGTGGTGGGGTCACCATCCCTGGAAGTGCTCACACCCCATGCAGATGTGGCCCTCAGGGACATTAGTTAGTGGTGGCCTTGGCAGTCACCACTGTTACCTTGGGGTAACAATCTGACTTGATGATCTTAAAAGGTCTTTTCCAACCTAGTTGATTCTATAATTAAGGATCTACAGCCGAGCAAGGGACTGGTGCTCATCATTTCAGAGCACAGAAGAAAATTGCCCTTCTCATTTGTTCCACTTCTGTTCTGGATGGCATGGTGGAATCTGGGAGCATTTCTAGCCTGGAGTTAAGTTCCTCTTCCCCTCTATCTGCTCTGCAGGCCACACTTGCACATTAAGTGCCTAGTACCTGCTGGTTCAGTGAGGGTGACTGACCTACATACTCCAGTAAAACCATTACTATCCAAGGAATATGAGCAAAGGATTCTTTTGTGGCAGTAATACAGAGAAAAGAACACGAGCTCTAAGAGCCTTTGTCAGATGCCTAGGATTGGGAGCACTTCCTAGAGCAATGCAAACCAAACCACCTTCCCAAACACAGGAGCATTTTCCTGTAGCATGCAATGCTCCACTGAGCATGCTTGGAGTCTCACACCTGACATCAGATAGGTCCGATCTGACTGGGATGTAGTGGACCCAAGGCTTCAGCTGCGGATAAAAGAATTCCAACCACTCTTCTCCAACGTGAAAGACAAGTGAACCACATAAGAAAAGGTGTTTCAACCGGAAACTGGCAGCCACTCCCCGGAAATTGAACAGATACCTTTAAAAGGAGAAGCAAAGAGAAGGTCCTTGGTTACACCTAATGCTTTGTGAGGAAATTCACTGAGAAACTGGGCTCTGAGCAGTAGCCAACCTTCCTTCACAGGCAGCCACTGGGAGCAAGGGGATCTCCCTCACACACCAGAGTTGTGCACCGGCCACTAAAACAAAGAGAAAAAGTTTATTTGAAGCTACTCACAGGAAAGGTGAGCTGAAAATAAGGATGTTGTAGGTGAGCTTCTGTTGCCTGTTAAAATTGAGGGAGAAAATCAAGGTGTGAGGCTCTACCTGCCTGTGCCAAACCAAAGGAAACCTCATGGACAGCTGCTGGCAAAGCATAGAAGATCTCAACACGGACGCTGATCCTGTGACTCTACAGCTTCAGAGACTGTCAACCGCAAGGAGCTTTTTCACAATTCTCTCATCTTGCAGTGAGCTTTTCTGTTCATTGCTCTGCTTTGCCACATCTATCTCAGCTGGGGGTTTGGTTTTTGTTTTTTCTCTAGGATTTTGCTTTAATCTGAATCTGATTGTTTCATATTAACTTGGGAATGCAACCCTAGGAGGTTAAAGAGGCTAGCACACAACAGACGGACTTTGCAGATAACAAAGACTCCACAATTTGGTTTTCAGTATTTTTCTGCCAAATCAGTAAAGTGGGCTTGAGTGGGGAGGATTTCTCTTAGCAAACTGTTATCTCAGACGGATGGTTGGTTGTTTACTTGCTTTCTTTTTTAAAACCATGTTTTTCCAATTACATAGAGAGCTGTTTTTCCTGAGAGTAAAACCCCTCAGTTCATATATAACTGATCTTTGAAGTCAAACATTTTGAGCTGGGGAAAGGGAATGCTTCTTTTAATGAAGCTATTTTGGGTGAAATGGGGCTTCTATATTATATGTATATTGAGTGAGATAGGAATTATAGCTAAATTTAGTTCAGCAGCAAATGACAATGAGTAAATCTGAACTGATATTGTGTTCTTTGTATTACCTGGGAGCTCTAGGCCAGCATGAGGAAATCAACAAATACACGTAGAGATTTAACACAAACAGCGGTCTGGAAGCGGTCTGTCCAGTTCCAGACACAGCTCCCACCATCCACGACCTCAGCCAAGTCACTGAGCACTGCTCTCAGACAGCCTGCTGTAGCACCTGCACCACAGGAAGCAGCAAGGAGTTCATGCTGACCCTACCAGACAAAAGTGTGTGAGAATGCCTCAGCCTGCACTGTATGAGAGTCTTAGGAGGCAGCAGAAATGGGACGCCTATGTGCAACAACAGAAGGGAGAAATCTGGGCAACAGTCTAGTGAATATGAAATGAGGCAAGTCAATCACATTTGCACAAAAACACAGATCCAGCCAAATGACTGAGTTCTATCAGCAGATTCTATCTGGCAGAATTGTAATTAGGTAGTTTTAAAGCAAAACAAGCAGCAAAACATCACACATATGAGTGCATATACACTGAGCTTATATTTTTACACAGAAACCCACAAGAATATTACACCAAAACCCCCTCCCTAAAGCAGTTAGAAACTAAAAATCTTTGTAAATCAAAACCCACATTCTCTCAAACAACATACAAAATATGAGTCAATACTATATCTGCTCAATCATATTTCAGGTTCTCTTTTACTATACACGTCCAGTGGCAGTGTTTACCTCAGTATGCACATGAAGACATGATTCCTTAGTTCCCTATGTCTTTGAAGACAGCAATGCTACGACTGTAAAAAATTATTCAGGACACACTACTTGGTACAGGAATGTAAAGAAAAAATGATAGAAAGCCTTTTTGATTAAAAAATATCCATTTGCTTATTAGTGATCTAAGACCTTTTCTTTCCCCAAAGCAGTTTATTTCTCCTGACCTGACAGGGGAAAGCTGACACTGAAAGAGGCCATGCTCATCTCCCAAATTTTCAACTGCCTTATGTCTGTTCACAGGCTTCCTTATGTGCATGGAGCTGGTTGCTGGAATTAGACCTTAAAATAAAATGAGACTTTACACCATACAAGGAAAGACATAACCTGCAGCCCTTGAACAACTTACTAATCAAAGCTCTTACTTGTATTTGCAGTGATCAACCAGGGGAATTTCCTTTGCAGCAGGCTTTCCTAATGTATCCTTAAAATAAAGAGAATTTTAAAAGATTGGTAAGTTTTATGTGGTGATTTCATATTTGTTTTCATTCTCAGTTAGAAACAAAGCTGAGATCTCAAAGCCCTCTATTCCTACTTCTGAGAAAACCTTCTCTGGTGGGTTCTTCGAAGTATTATTAAGAATTCCCAGCCCTTCAAACAAGACAAAGAGCTCAGTAAATTACACACAGCCTGTAAGCAAATGACAGCACAAACACATTAAATGATAATGTTTAGTTGGCAACTACAGAGAGGAAAACAGCTTGGGACAAAGGACTATGTGAAGCCAAGTATAACTGGATTAGCCAAGATTGTCTGGAGAGAGCTGGACTGTAAACTAAGTATAGAACTAAAGGTTTAGCAGTAGCAGTTATCAGAAAGTTATCAACAAAAAAAAACGGGAAACTGAGATTACAGAAAAAGGTTTAAGGTTTTCTTTCCTTGAAGAAAAAGCGTAGATGGAAGACAAACATTTGGTCTCACAGGCCCTAGAGACACCTTCCTTTCATCCTTCAGAGGTGTGGCCATGAAGGGAACTACAAGCCTCCTCCACACTAAAGGATCACCCACAGACCCCAGAAGATACTTCCCAATCATCAAAGCCATCTTGCACTGCTACCCTTTCTGGCCTTCACACTCATGAGACAGACAGCATCCACACACCTTTTCAGATTTCCAAGCCTGGTTTTTGGTGTACTCAGCATCAACGAGTTCTGGGTTTTCTCGGGACAGCAAAATGAGCGGATCTCTCTCAGGGCTCGTTCTGCGAAAAAAAAATGCCATCAGTATGGTCTACCCACATGATCCAACATAGGTAACAAACTACAGGGCTCAAGACCCTGCCTCTTCATGTGGCTGACCTCTCTATGTGCCCAAAAAACATTATTAAGTTCCTACCATATGGTGTACTTCTGTCCAAGGGCATTAGCAGAAGAGAAGGAATTATGTATCCTGAGGTGATTTGAGGCCATGTTTTTTTATCTCGCTTACTAAATATTTAATAGCATTATTTGAGCAATTCCCAAGCCAAACCAGCAGAGATGATGTTTTCTTCAGGCTTTACCCTGATAGGTGCCAAATACTTCAGCTTTCTCTGACTTGGGAAGGAGTTAAGAGATGCTAAGCATCTTCAATGCCAACAGTGATTTAAAACACCACTGATAAACAAGGTTATGACACCCCTGAGACTTGCTGCTCATCACCTCCTGAGCCTACCTGGTATCTATCAGATCCTTCCCTACTGGGGATGGGGGAGAAACAAAGAACTGGGTTTAACATTGTTTCCAAACTGTCACTGGAGGAAGGGCAAAAATAATCTACTCTCTTGCCCCCCACCACTCAGGTAACTTAAAACAAGAGTACTTCTGATTCAGTGTCAAGCACCTGCATAGCAAATAAAAGTCTTCAGAACAGCAAGCAGCATGCACATCAACATAGAATCTTTAAATGTGCATCATGCATCTGCAGTTCCCTTCATAGAACAAAACAAGTTGTTTCCTAGTGTGACAGTTTTACTCATTAAGGAATAACATACCAAATTCATCACAGCTTCTGTTTCCAATATTAGACTTTCATAATAAACTGGTTGCAAATGGCAATTCTGATCGAGAATCATTAACGGTGAAATGCTGCTGTACCGAATGTTTCACTTTCCTTGCTTTAAAAAGAAACTATATCCTGGTTTACACTTGTTTAGGTCTTTGAGATACAGAAATTTCTGCACACAGCTGTCACAGCATGTGTCAGTAGAATCTCCTGCTACAGGAAAATGTGCTCACCTGGATCCTCGGAAATATCCTTTAGAGATTTTTTTCATCCATGGCCATTTTTCTGCAGATCTGAAAATATTGTTTATACACGGCAATGAATGATTTAACATAACCAGGAAACAGCACTCTCATCAGTTGTTACAGCATAATCTCTTTATATTATTCTTTGTTTTTCAATGGAAGTCACTTTCTTCATTAGAGTAGAAAAACCTCTCAGCCAGGTCCAACAGAACACGTTTTCCTATGAATATTGTGTTTAAGGCAACATGATACAGGATACTTTTCAGTACACCCCTTAGCCAAAACAGTGAATTGCACACAATCCCCTCACCAAACCTTAAACTTAGGGCATTAAAATTTACCTCAGATTTGAATCCACATTTTGTACTGTTGCTCTCTTTTTCTGTACTTCACTGAATATGGATACTGCAAAATGACTAGAGAGTTTCTAACTAGTTCCCAATTTCACTCATTTCCCAATTGGAAAACCCAAGCAAAGAACAACCACCAAACAACCAACCCTGCCTCATGTTTTGCATTTAAAACACAGGGGTTCATTGTCTTCCCAAATAACTTTCATTTTACATCTACGCAAGTCCTTCAAAACAGCTGTTCACAAGTTTTACTTCTGTCAGTGCCGTCACCTGCCTCCCTCTGGGGAACTCTTTGTGGTACTTTTCTGTTGCACCTGGCTTGACATCTAGGTCCTGATCCCCAAACTGATCAACCTTTGCACTACTTATAACCCAGTGACACAAGTGGGGCTCACTAAGAAAGCAAAGATAAGTAAATGCTTTGGACCTTCATTGTATTACATCACATTAGGCTTCAGCTATCATTAGTCCCATAGATCTTCAGATTTTGAAGAAAGAAACACTCAATCTTGACATTGTGTCAGGTGATTGACATAAAGGTGGTTTTCTTATAATGTATCTATGTTCCCTCGCTGTTGAACACTTTGTCACTCTCCATGGGAAACAGCCCCTTATTCTGCTAACAGTCAAAAATCCTGCCAAAAGAAAGACTCCCAGTCAAAAACATCTTCTGTCTTACTCTCAGCCCAGTAATGACTCTTGATTCAGCCCAGTAATGACTCTTGATTCTTGGGAATGATTCCAGGTTTCTCTATTGCACAATGACACTCAAGTAAAACCAGATATAAAGAAGGCTTTCCTTTACCCTTCCAGAAGCTTACACAAACATCCCGGATCATCCCTGCAGTGAAAAAAACACAGCTTCTACAGAAGTAGTTGGAAACGAAGGAAAACATTTCCATATGCCAGGGGAGATGTCTGCAGGCAAAAGATAACTGCTATGTTATTGACAATCTCTATCCCAGCAAAAATGATAGTAATCTGGCCCTGACAGCATGAAGAATGGGTATTATTTTGTCCTCTGCATTTCTGACTCAAGTGTTGGAAACAGAAAAGCTCATTATAACTTCTAGATACATCATCCAAGGTTTCCAAGGAGAATTCCTATACAGTAGCTAGGCTGTACATAGTTAATGAGAAGCAAACAGATAGATCACAGGCCAACAGACCTATGGTCTTAGATTTCTACATTGGCCCGACGCTGCCTAGTGGTTGGTGGATTTTACTGTGCATTTGTCTTCCATTAAACCTCCACACACACATAATCACTTCCAAAACCTACCTTCTGAGGTCCTCTCTCATGAGGTCCCAGCGCCCTAAACCTGTCGGGTAAATTGGCCAAACAGCTGGTCCTCCTTCCCAAAATGTCCAGGCAGGATACATTATATCATTGTAATCAGGTGTCTTAAGAAAAAGAAGAGTAATGTAAGAATAAGGGTAATATCTACTTCAAGTTTACTCACTGAGCCCACCAGTAATGAATGTCACTTCTGGGAGTTCTGCTTGCTTTCTCCATTACCATTCCATGAGCAGCCATGAGAGCTTTGCTGTCACCATGGTGCTACTGGGGTTCTTTGGAATAAAGCCTAGTAATGAAATGTTTCAGTGATGTTAGAAAGGCTGCGTGACAACATGGGACCTTCACACTAGAAAATAACAAAAAAGGTCTGTGACATAGCTGATGAGTAAATAGCAGAAGACCTGAGCTCCATTCATTTTTCTGAAGATTTGTGCCTATGTGTAGCTACAAATGTTTTCTACTAAAAAGAAGTTAAGAAGCATTATTATTTCCTCAGACACAGAATCACTTACACTTTGACATTTAGGTTTCCCACACTTCCATTCATTCCAGCCTTCCTAGAGCTCACTTACTTCACTGTAACAAATACCCAACTCACATAAGAATTTCATTTCCTCACTCCTATTTGGATGCTTAAATCCCCATATAACCAGAGGGGAGAGACCAGCTCTTAAGTAAGACTCAGCCCTTTCATGAAACCAAACTATAGGTTGCTTCCTTGCACTAATAATGAACTTCCTATATAATTATCCATCTACCTGTCACCTGGAGATACTGGAGAGGTTCCAAGGCCTCCAACATAGTCAGCAGGTTGGTGCACATGACATAGTAACAGGGGCTGAGGAATGGGTTTGTTCATGCAGACAAGAGGAGGCTTGGAGGAATCTAAATGCTGTCTCCTAATGGAAGAATTCAGATAAGATAGATCAGACTCCTTTCAGAAGTGCAGAGACAGAATGAGAGGCAACAAGCTTTGATTTCAAGAAAGGAAATTCTAATTAGATATTGGGAACATGTTTTCACTCTGACAGAGGTCAAACACTGTCTGGGGACACCCTGTATCCAGGATGTAGCCCACAGCACCCAGATCTAGCTGGTCCTGCTTTGAGGGTCAGGGTGACCTCTTGAGATCCCTTCCAAGTGAAATGAGTGTGTGCTTGTATGATCTGCTCCTTCTCAGTCTTGGCATAAACAGGCATTGATAAGAAATCATAACAGCTCCACCACCACCCCAGGGCTGGCCTTCTGAGGCGCAGAGTAGGACAATCCTTCAATCCCTTATGCTTTCAGCCTTACAAAGCACCCTGTACCAGCATCCTGGAGCCTTCCTCACAAGGGATGGTTAAATGTGAGCTTTGCCTGGGTCACTGGGTTTCAGTTATGGACAGGGCTGAGCTTACAGTTCAGATACTGGAAAACAATGACTGGAGAAGTCAGTTTCTTGCTGGGTCCTGCAAGGCGCCCAAGGGCAGGATGATGAATACAGCTGCAGAGATTGAACTCCTGCAACCTGCTCTGCAACAGTTTGGGTTCTGCTGGCTAGAGTTAAGGCTATGCAAGGGTCAAGACAGCTTACTGGCTTACTACTACATTTGGCAACAAACATGGTTATTGAATGACAGTTCTTGCAATGCTGCTCTGAAAATCCAGAGAGTTTGATAGCTGGGGACTAGCCAACAGGTATAGATCCTATTACGGTTCAGACTGCATGAGCTGAAAACCTGGGTTCAGAGTAAGACACTACAAGTTAGCAGAAACAGAATAGGGCCTGAACTAGCAAGACCAAATGGTTTACTGCCTCTTTCTGCATCTTACTTTCTGCTGGGCTTCAGCTATGACCAGGATCATGATCAGAGTTAGGCAGTGAGGGTGCAGGATTTGGGCACATTGGGCATACACTAAAGCATAGCAAGATTAGCTGAAGCTTGAAGTGTAACAGTATTTTGTTGGAAAGGATGAGACACTATGCTACAGTCAGGTTTAATAATGGGAGAAGTGGGAAAACATATGGGAGGGCTCTCGAGTGTGGAACAGAGAAGCAGAGAGCAAATGTATGCACCTCTGGGCATGTGTGCATGTCTGCAGATGGAAAACAATATCCAGGGGAAAAGGGCTCACAGGAGGCAAGAATACTACTGAGAAGAAAATCGGAAACACTTATCTGTGGTACCAGAAAAGAGAGGACTAAAATATTCACATTAAATGAGATGAACTGGATGATAGCTGACTGATGATCAAAAAAGCCTCAACAACGCTAATAAACTGCAGTTACAATTTTAACAGGGGCACTGCAGCAAATGACAGCAATGCTGGCACATATCCCATCCAGCTGTGCATCATTCCACTGTGGCAGACGTACAATTTTTGACCTGGAAGAGAAGCTAATGAGGTAAAAACTGTTCTATCAATAAATCTGCAAACCTGCCTGCCAGAAAACTGGAAGCAAAAGCAAACATAAAGAGCAGGCAATTTTGACACACACAAAATCTGTGGGAACCATCCTCAAAAGTAGGTTTCCAAGAGAAAGGAGAACATGCATGACTCAGAAATGCTCAGCTTTTAAAGATGTACACACCTTACTGAAGGAGAAGACTGGGATAATGGGTTTCATCCATGTGGGGACCTGGGGGTAGTCTCGCACATTGATCACCATTTCCATGTCAGGGAGGCGGTTGATGATCTCCAGAAGGAAGTGCTCAACTCCACTGCATCTGTAGAGAAATGCCATATGGGAAAGAGCTATAAGTAGAAGGCAGAATCCTACAGTCTCTTGTAGGCCTTTCCCTCTGAATAGGAGCAAAGGAGATGGCAAGCCTAAGCCATACCATGATGCAGGCTGGGAACTGCCTCTAGCAGCATCTAAGCCCCAGTGCAGTACAGACACGAATGAAACAACCCATTCTGGTAAATCTGGCCTGATCTGCAGCTTCCTCTGGGATCCTACAACCAACCAGCCCTTTGTACACTGAAGTGCCACAATGACACATACCTCTTGCTACACTTAAGCCTCAAACATTTTCTAGGTTTCTGTTCTGATAAGGAATTCAGACTTCTGAAATATAATTGTACTCAATGACTTTCAACTTGGCAGCATTGGAAAGAAGTGCTGTGACCCAGCTAGGGTGACAATATCTTCTGCACATCACTTACCTTGCAGGGAACAAGCAGTCCTGCTCACGGTACAGTTTGTTCTTAATGATCTGGTAGTGTGTCCCAAGCTTCCGGCTCACCACATCTGACATTATTTCCTTGGAAATGCCACCTTGAAAAGGAGCCAGGTCCTGCTTCCAGACACTGAAACAAAACAACCAGCCATTATTATGTACAATAAGAAGGATACTGTGCATTAAATTACTGCAGTATACAGAACAGACTTCTAGCTAAAACAAGCTGTCAGTATCTTCCAGGAGTGCTGCTATATGTGGCATAACAGAGAATCTGATTTAAGTCACTTGGAAGAGCTGTTACTCCATCAAAAGTCCAACCTTCACTCTTTGACTATGTGCTGTTTGCCCAAACAGAAAGCCTAACACAAGACTCTGAGGCTAAATCAAAATGGACAACTCCAGTTCCTCTCCTAGAAAGGATCTTACATACCCTGGCAGGTTATGGGTAAAAGTCTTCAGCTCACTTAACCTTTGAATTGCAAAGTTTGTGCTCTGGCCTTCCATGAACAATGGGCCAAGACCAAATTCCTCACACAATGTCATGCTGTTTAGACATTAAAATAGAACGGAAGAGTCTAGTTGCAAAGAAGAGAATCACCCAATACTGCTGGGGGCAGTGAAAGCCAGCCCAGGACAGGCCTATGTAGCATGTCCGCACGTCATCAGTGATCTCCAGGAACACTGTGAAAACATAAACCTAGTGAATAGAAGACAATACAGGAGGAAGCAGCTTCTATAAACTTAGTCTAAAGGTCTAAGATCAAATTGCTTGGAGAATTTAACAAACACTGTCAGATTGTAACAGCCATGGAGACATTCTCCCCACTTTTTGGTAGACACTGACTCAGTGCCTTAGTTTAATTTAGCACTATTGGGGTGATCCCACTGTAAGGGTGGTCAAACACAGGAAGAGGTTGCCTAGAGAGACTGTTTCTCTCTGTTTGCACAGATAGTTCCTATTCTATGAGATATTCAAGCTTGACTGGCCACAGTCCTGGCAGCCCTGCTTGAGCAGATGGATGGACTTGACAATCTCAAGATGTTCCCTCCAACCTCCAGGATTCTACTATTTTGTAATGAGGTGGAAACCAGTAAAACTACATAAAGACTTGCCATTGTGCAGATGGGCTGACCAAAGGATAAGCAGTCTGGTAGGGATGCAGATGTAATGAGTTTGAGATCAGGAAGAAAGTTGCAATTTTATGAACCATCAATGTCATTGTAGCCTAAGTGACAACTGAAAGGTAGCTTTTAAAAGCTCACACGAAAGACTTGCTAGCAACACTGCACTGAGTGAATAGGCAGAAGTGGATTGTTAAGATATAAATATCACCAGCTATGTGCACAGTTTATCACATGATCATATATGAAATGCTGAACAGTCCATGGTCAATGTGTATGTACAACCTCAGAGGACAATAAGGAGTGTGATCAGTTTGCAGATGGACATACCTTCTACTGGAACTAGGGAGGTCAATCTGTTTCACACAGTGCCATTAATAACTTCCTCCTTGCAAGCACCACCATCATGAAACACTCCAGGCTTGGGGACAAGTGGCTGGAAAGCTGCTCAGTGGAAAAGAACCTGGGGGTGCTGACTGATGGTGCTGAACATGAGTAGCTTGGACGCAGGCAGCCAAGAAAACCAACAGCATCCTGGCCTGTATCTGCAATAGTCTGGCAGCAGGGCCAGGGCAGTGACTGCCACCCTGCACTGGTGAAGCTGCACCTTGAAATCTGTATTCAGTTCTGGGCCCCTCACTACAAGAGAGACACTGAGGTGCTGGAGCAGTGCCAGAGAAGGGAAACAGAGCTGGTGCACAGCCTGGAGCACAAGTGGGATGGGGAATGGCTGAGGGACCAGGGGGGATTTAGTCTGGAGAAGACAAGGCTCAGGAGGACCTTATCACTCTCTACAACCGCCTGACAGGAGGATGGAGACAGAAGGGGGCTGGTCTCTGCTCCCAAGTATCAAGTGAGAGGACAAGAGGAAACGGCCTCAAGCTGTGCCAGAGGAAGGTTGGACTGGATATTAGAAAAAAATTCTGCACCAAAAGGGTGATCAGGAACAGGCTGCCCAGGGCAGTGGTGGACTCACCGTCCCTGGAAGCATTCACCCTTAGTGACATGGCTTAGCAGTGTCTTGGGAGTCCTGGGTTAACAGCTGGACTTGATGGTTGTCCTGGGTTCAGCTATACCAGTCATAGGTGAACCCAGGACAATGATCTTAAAGGTCTTTTCTAACCTAGCTGATTCTATGATGGCTGCAACCTTAAAGCCCAAACATTCTCAACCTGATTCCCAACCATCAGTGCTAGCAACAGTATTTCCTCTCATGGCCAGAGGCCTCTGCAGGCAAAAGGAAACTGCTCTCTCACCTTTGGTGGCAGCTGCAATTCTCCTTTACACATGGCTTATAGACTTCCACAGCTTTCTTAATTTGGTCCGTTATTTTTTTCCATTTGGCATCTAAAACACACATAGAGGAAGGAAAAGTCATAGCAATCCATCCCTTACACTACCAAAACAACTAGCGGGAGCTGAACAACATTCCTGGTCCAGTTGGAAACAGCGATGCACCAGGGTCTCCCAAAACACGCTAGCACTGTTCCAGTCCCGGCAGCCCAACCAGGGGATGCTTAAAGCAAGGAGGGGAAAAGAGGACCCGCCACTGAAAGGGTCCAGGGACGGAGGAGTGGTTTAGGCGGCCCGCTCTTCCCGGCTTCCTTTCCACCCCAGGCGGCCACCGCGGGGTGCTGTCTGTGGTGACACTCCCTCACAGGACTCGCCGCTTCCGTCCGGACCATCAACCCGCCCCTCATGCAGCGAAGCCGCATCCCGTTCCCCATCGCTCGCAACACCCTCCCGCCTGGGCAAGGCGAGGAGCGTCGTACCCCGCTCACCTGCGGGACCGCCCGCCATGGCGGGATCCAGCCACCACAGCAGCACCCATAACGCCAACGCCTGCCGCCGCATGTCGCCGTCGCCGCCGCCGCCACCTCGGCTCTACTGCGCATGCGCGACCCGCCACCGGAGGGACAGCGCGGTCAGTGGGTGATGACGCCCTCACCAAAGATGGTGGCCGCCGCCGTCAGCCCGGCACAAAGATGGCGGCGCTAACGGCGGTTATGGTGCCGCGGTGCTTGATGGGAGCTATAGTTCCCGCGACGCTCAGTGGCGGCGTCCGCAACTCCGCTCCTATGCGCCTCAGGAATCATAGAATCACAGGCTGGTTTGGGTTGGAAAACACTTTATGATCATTCCGTTCCAACCCCCTGCCACAGGCAGGGACACCTTCCACTGGAGCAGGTTGCTCCAAGCCCCATTCAATCTGGCCTTCAGCACTGCCAGCAGTGGGGCAGCCACAGCTTCTCTGGGCACCTTGTGCCAGCACCTCACCACCCTCACAGGGAAGAGCTTCTGCCTAAGATCTAACCTGAACTTGCCCTGTTCCAGTTTGAAGCCATTACCCCTTGTCCTATAATTACAGTTCCTAACGAAGAGTCCCTCCCCAGCATCCCTATAGGCCCCCTTCAGATACTGGAAGGCTGCTATGAGCTCTCCACGCAGCCTTCTCTTCTCCAGGCTGATCAGCTCCAACTTCCTCAGCCTGTCTTCATACGGGAGGTGCTCCAGCCCCTGATCATCCTCGAATCCCACACACCTCATGCAGGATCTTGTGCACCTGGCAGCCCTTGCTCCCTTTGGGATATTTTGTAGGGGAGAGAACTTTCCTGGACACCTGAATTCACCAAGCAGTTTGTCCACCCTCTATGGCGCTCCTTCTGGCCCGACCTCTCGCTGTTTCCAACACCTGATTCAGTTTGATCATAGAATCATGGAATCACAGAATGGGACCTCAAAGATCATCTAGTTCCAGTCCCCCTCCAACTGGGTAACTGAGAGTATGAGCGAACTGTGAGGGAGTAAATGAATGTTGTGTGTATTATCTGCTATTAATAGTAACAGTGTCATCGGGTGAAAACCTTGAGCACTCTGCCTGTCTCATTCTCAGCTTCCACTGCACAACCAAAAAATTTTAAAGTAAATAAGGGGAATTAATCCCTTCTTTCCATTCTCTCCTAGAGCCCCTCTGTCTTCCTTTTGATTTCTGCAGAGGGTCTGCTTTCTTCCTTTTCCTCTACAGTCTCTCTCACAGCTGCAGTAGTAACAGATCCAATTCCGAGGCCAGTCTGGAGGCTTCCCAAAAAGCGTGAACCTTAAGTAAGGTAAAAGCAAAAACTGCCTATACTCTTACATGAACAATGTATCTTATACCTTACTCTACATATCATCCCTAACATGGCTAATTCAACCAATATTTCTAGCACAGTTTTCTGTCTTCCCTTTCAAGTTCCAGACCAGATTTTCCTGCTTCTTTCCCATGTGACTGAATAGAGACATCAGCTGTGATGCTCCAACACCATTTCTGGTTGTTTCTCACAGCTCCCTGCTAGTCTCCTACACAGCCAGTAGAGCTGTAGTAGTTCAGTCTGTAGCAAAGGTTATTTCAGGTTCTTTCTCTTAAGCAAAGAGTAGGAGTGGTAGTCAGCATAAATGTTTAATAGGCCCTGAGAGCTAAGACTTTAAGATGAAGCTCCTTTTGAAGCTACATTTACAGCCTCTGCTCTCCCAGGCTTTGTATAATGAAAGCACCCCAGGCCGCTGTGGTATGGTTTTGGCATGCACCGTAGTTCCCTGCAAGCACCCTGGATGGTTGTAAGCTTCAGAACCCCTTGACTCTCACTTCAAACACAGCCTTTGCCTCACCTGCTCCACCTTCTGAATTTCCTGCAAATCCAGAGCTCTGTGCAGGAGCATCTGGCTCTGATCTTTGATACCCTCCCTCAAACACAGTCCCGCCCTCATTTTTTTCTCTGCCAAGTCAAGCACAAACACCCACAATCTACTTTCATGATGTTCCATGTGCCGGGAGTGGAAAATCACTTGGCTGTAAGTCTGGTGTCCTTGCTTTACATATTCATAGGTTAGACGAAGGGTGCTTGGGAAAGTAAGGGTGCTTGGTTGTAAGATTAAGTTAAAGAAAATGTGCTTCCTACATCTTGAGTTTCTCTCAGAGCTGTGGTCTGCCTTTTCTAATCGCTTGTTCGGGGGTGCCGGTGGGGGATTTTCTTCTTTAATTCATCACTTTGTGCTACATGGAGATCCTAGGTTTTCTGAACTCCCAAACGATGGTGAATTTTTCATATGAAGGATAGCCATCCTACCTGCACTGAAGCTCTCCAGAAGTATGGATAACTAGAGAAGGTTTATGCACAGCTGGAAAAGGTAGTGCCAGCAAAAGGGGAAACATCCGGACATTAAAAATGAAGCTTCCAAATAGTAGATGTACGGCTCTTCTTATAACCTGTGATTGATGTTACCAGGGCTTCCTGGGGCTGAGCCCAGTCTTCCCAAGAAGAAGCCACATGGCTTCTAGAGAATCAAGATTGTTTCCTGTTGGTGACCTCCTTGTGGATCTTCTTTTCCCTTTGGCTCTGTCCTGTGTCCTGTAACACACAGCCCTATGGAGGTGTTCTGCTGTGGCTGTCGGGATTTAGGAAAGCTGGCCACATCTGCAGTACATGGCTTGGGGGGTGTTTGGCATTGAATATTCAAGTAGGCTAATTATGAATCTGTTACAGTAACTGGAGAACTGTGTGAGAAGTGTAGTACCATATGACAGCTAGTAAGGGCTTGGGTCATGAACTGAGGCTCAGACTAAGACTGCGGGGCCTGCAGAACTGCTGAGTTGGACTGGGCAAAGAAAGTGCAAAACAAGTGCAGGAGATCCCACAATTTGGTCTTGATGAAACCCCATCCAAGTCTGCCAGCAAAGGAAGTCAGTAACCCAGCCCTTAGGCCAGCCTGAGGGGTCGTGAAGGCAATGGAAACAATGGAGGAGCCAAGAAAAAGTGGTCAAGGCATCTGTAGCTCGAGCCTGAGGTTGAAGTTTAAGTACTTGTGCATGCTGTGGGAGCAACACAAACCAACTGCATCTGGTGCTTGAGAGGAGACACAAGAACTGCAGTGGTTTCAGCCCTTGAGGAATTTGTATGTGCCAGGGCATGCCTGTGCTCATGACAGTGGTGACAGTATTATAAATACTTTTCATAATGGCAGCAGAGAGTAGCAGCCCCAAAAGGGAAGAGGGACACCTGTTTAGTGTGAACCCTATGTGTAAATGCGTGTATAAACATGGGGTCAGGAGTATAGTTAATCCTTCTAATTTGCACTCCTAAAAAAGGGAACAGGCAAATCCATCTTTCTTGGACAACTTAAGAAAATGTAGGACTCTTGCACAAAGGGATGAGCTGAGGAATTAACAGTCATCATCACCCCTGTACAAACAACAAACTAGAAAAGGCACAGATTTGTAATGCTTCAGTGTGGGGGGACCTGGTAGATTCAGAAGGTAAAAGGCCCTTTGCATTATAAAAGGGGTGTATTAAATATTTGTACCCATTTGCCTTTGTATTTGAGTTGCAGGGCACAAAAAGAAGCTAAAATTAAATATATTCTTATAGAAAAGGCCTTGGCATTAGGGCATGGCTGTAAAGACTTTTTAAAATCTGTTTGAGAGGCCATGTTAACTAAAGCTGATCATAAATCACTTTTTGCCATTGCCAGTGGGGATCTGGCAAACACCTTCCTGCAAACAGAACGTCTCTTTCTTTAGCTACAATTGTATAAATGGCAAATTGAATGTGAACCTGAGAAAGATTTAGTAGTTACAGGCATACTCTCTGGAGCCCTTGACAAAAATGCTGTGGAACAAAGTCCCAGGCTAGATTATGTATATGTCAGTTGGGGAAAACAAAACAGAAAACCCCAGCCCTGTCAGTTCTCAAATGAAATGCAGAATTCTATTGCTAGTGGTTTGCTGAGGATGAGACACTGCAGGATGTAATTAAGGTTCTACTAGAAAATGATTTGCACAGCTTATTCTGTCCCTGTTTCAGATTAAAACGATTTAGATACCACTTCTCTGAGGCATGAAGAAAACTGATCCTTGAAATGCTGCAGGAAAATAAAGATACAGAAAGCCATTTAGAGCCTGAAGGCAGCGTGAGACATCTCTGTCTCCCTCAATAGTCAGAAATACAAGTGATGTTAAGTGGAGGAGAGCATGCTGGTAGAAGACACTCGCCATCTAGAAGGAAGCTAACGAAGTAGGCTTGCATCTGCTTGACGTGGGAGTCCTGAGCAGCCATTTTCATGTACTACAGCATTATAAGGGAGCAGGTTGCTTATGTCTGCCAACAGAGGATTTTATATACATTAACAGTAATGTCTGTCAATGGACCACAGTTCAGTACACACTGATGTTTATTGCAGCTAATCCTAAAGGTGGATGGATTTCCATGCTGGTGGAAAGTGATGTTGAAATACTGCCAGAAAGGGGTCACCATCAATCTGTTGCACTTTTGGCACTACTGAGTTGCAGTGGATTGTCACACCTGTGCTAGCAGAAGCTGGTATCATAGTAAGGGTGGGTTGGTTAAGTAAACAGTATGATTTGGTAGCAAGTAGTGAAACAGCAGGAAACAAGTAGTGAAACAGCAGGAAACGCCAGTTACAGATGGGATGCGCTCTGTGGAGACTGCGTGATCATGTGGAATGGTTGTTGTAGGCAGTGCATGCTGTGGAGAAATAGATTCACATTTTCCAGATTCCAGGGTGCAGTGGGAGGGTGTAAATTGCTGCCCTTCACAATGGTGGTGTCAGGTTAGAGTGGCTGTAATCCAGAAAAGCAAACAGCTAGAAGTAATGGGCTATATGCTAATTAACACGTTTTCCAGAAGACATGGGTGGCAACACAGGACATCTGGGACAGCAGGACATTTATTGAGGGGAGCAGACAGCTTGTATGCACTTGCCATTGTCCATTACTTGGGTCTGCTTGAACTTGGCTGTCCAGTGAAGCTCCTCTTTCAGAAGAGGAGATGCCATTGTGCAGAGGATCCTGCTGAACAGCACCAGTCAGGT